TGTAAACTGAAAAAAGTATTCTCAGAATTATCAAATCAAGCGGTGAACCACATTCATGAACGATTATGGACAGAATGTAAATAAGTGAAAGGACACAGTGTCCTCAACATAATTGCAAGTCAAGTCACAAGTGTTTAGAACCATACTAGATAGTTACATTTTTACCAAATCAAAACAGGAATCAAAACCCTTTTTTCGGGGGAGGAGGAAATGGAAAGAAGCGTTTTTTAAAAAAAATGCAATTAGAGGCCCAAAGTTGGCAGTAAAGTGTACCTCTTAACAGCACCAAAAAATCTCCCCGCAAAATTGCTCAAATTTCCACACAGTTTTCTATTGACCCTGGTGATGAGTTACACAGTGGTGCTCCACTCAAATGATTCACTGCAAAGACAAGTGATACCTCTCTATATACAGCATGTCATTCACAAACTTGCTAGTTCATGGGAATTTTACAAACCACTATTAAACAATTGTTTTGTTTGACTGCTTTAAAACAGCAAAGGGGAGACTAAGCATCAGTGTAATTGTTTCTTTTACAAATAGGTCGTTTGTCTTCTTTAGTATAAATAGCCCTTCTAGCCTGCAGCAAATTTCTGGCTGAACAAATTCCAATGTCTCTCTGGCACTGTTAAGTCCAAGCCAAAGCTCAGAAATTCCACAGTACAAAATACAGTAATATTTTCAGAACTACCTCATTTTTTAATGATTTGAGCTAACAGTACAGGTAGTTTCTACATTTAAAGTTGAACTTGATACACACACAATATTTTCCTCATAGGAAAATTAAAACAGTCATCAGCTTTTTTTTCCACTGCATGGTTGGCAAGATTTCATTAGACTGCTGGATACATGACCTTGATTGAGTAGCAGGAGGTTAATATCCCATCAAATATTGGTCCGCATCTAGGTTAAGCAAACCTATATGTAAACCATTTGTAAATCGGAACAGGACCTTGAGCTTTACTTCAACTTGTGCTATTTGATTTTGCGGACATGCCCTTGCCTGGATCAAATCCTATCTCTTTTACCGTCTCCACTTTGTTGCCTCTAACGGTTTCTCCTCCAGCCCCCGAACTGTCACATCTGGCGTCCCCCAGGGCTCTGTCCTCGGCTCTCTCCTCTTTAATATCTACATGCTCCCCCTTAATGCATCATCCACAACTTCCACATGTATGTGGATGACATCCAACTCTACCTTTCTGTCTCCACCCTCAACTCCAGGACCACTACTGTCCTGACCGACTGCCTGTCAGACATCAAGTCCTGGATGAGGGTAACTTTCCTACAGTTGAATGTGAACAAGGCTGAGGCCCTCCTAATTGGCTCGCGCCAGCGCCTCTGCACCTCAGGCTCTGGTAGCATCAACCACCATGGCAGTCAGGAACCTAGGTGTCTTGTTCGACCCTCAACTGTCTTTTCTTCTCCACATCCAACCCATGATCCGCTCTGCCTTCCCTCACCTCCATAACATCGCCCGACTCTGCCACTACCTCACCCCTCAGGCCGCTGAAACTCTAGTTCATGCCTTCATCACCTCCAGACTCGGCTATGCAAACGCCCTGCTTGTCGGCCTTCCCAACTCCTCCTTCCACAGGCTGCAGATAATCCAGAACTCTGCAACCCGTGTCCTCTCCCACACCAAACTCTGTGACCCCATTCTCGTCCGACTCCATTGGCTCCCTAGCCTTCAGAGGATCCAGTTCAAGATGCTGGTCCTCACCTACAAAGCCCTCCATGGCCTCGCCCCACCCTACCTCTGTGACCTCCTCATCCCCTACCAACCCGCCCACTCCCTCTGCTCAGCCAGCTCCGACCTGCTCCACGTCCCCCAACCCACCCGCCCCTCCATTGGCAGGAGAGCCTTCAGCCACTGTGCCCCCAACCTCTGGAATTCCATCCCCCAATCACTCCGCCTCACCCCCTCCTTAGCCTCCTTCAAGTCCCGCCTCAAAATCCTCCTCTTCGACCATGCCATCGGTCACCCCCCTTCCCCTCCCCTCCCTGACCCCACCTCGGGTCTGAAATGCTGTACATTGTCCAGCGCCTTGGGCGTCCTCCCGACATGAAAGGCGCTATACAAATGTAACCTTGTTGTTGTTGATTTCATATCATTGCTTTAAATGGAAACCAGCTTTGGCAGTTTTTGCCAAAAGTACTACACCAAATATTTCCAAACCAATCCCCCAAAATGGCTTTGTGGTTTAGTTCTGAACCACAAAGCCATTTTCAGGTGGGCATCTCCCCCATGATTACTTTGCTCTCTACTATCTATTTCTGAATCATTAATTTAAAAATCTTTTTGATTCATCTTAATAATGGCCCTCACCACTCTCTTTGTTCACGATTTATTCTGCACAGCACTCTTCACATTCTCTGCTCCCTCAGGTTATGCTCTCTTCCCAGTGACACCTTTTTCTTTCCCCAATCTAGCTGTTCCAATGTCCACTTTATTTGTTAGTCTTTTTAATAGTACTTGCCCTCATCTTTCTATGCCCATTCTCCTCCTATCGCTTTCTGTACTATTATTTCCCAGTCACAAGACCGTACATACCTTTTCCATTGCACCCCAATTTCCACCCATCATCACAATTATCTTGCCTCAATGGTAAATTCCCTTTCTTCTTCCTGCCTATGGTATTATAACCTTTCGTTGAGTTGCTTCTTTCCATTAACATTTTCTCAAAAAAGGCCCAACTCAAGCTCAACTTGTTTTCTGCCACAAGTTTTAATCAGGAACGTTTTTGTGATCTCTGAAAATCTTCTATTTCTTGCTGACTGGTTGTGTTTTAAATAAAAACTCCTAACTCCTGCCTTATTGTCACCAGGAATACACAGCACTCATTCTCTTCAAATTCCACCTAAATTTTAATATGAAGAAATGAAACTATTTTCACAAACCATTAGCAATTCTACTGCTCTACAAATTGGTGCCTGTGGCAGGCTGATTCCAATGGGTGGATTTCAACTCTGGTGAAAAAGATCAGTTATTATACTGCAATTTATAAACTATTTTCCCCCACTTCAAGCATTTCAGTCTTTACATGGAAGTCTACGTGTCATCATGGCAGGCCTTGCTCTAGGAAACAGCTTGCAAATACTTATTTTGAAGGTTATTTACTCAAGGTTAAAAGCAAAGTACACCTTATCAACAACAAATGTTTACCAATGACATTATTTATTCCACAGGCATTGCTTGCACACAGGATTCATTACAAGAGATGGAAGAAAAAGTGCAGGTGCTGGATCTAATAAAAACAATATGCTGATATGAACAGCTCACTTGAAAAAGGACAGATTGTAGTTTTGAATATCAGGCATAAGAATAATTTAATTACTTTTACACAAACCTCATTGGAAGTTCAGATAAAAAGAATTCTAGTAAAAAAAATCTACACTGTAAACCAAGGCTATGTTTTGTGAAACAGAGGTTTAAGTCAGGATCATCGCTCAACGTTCCTAACTAACAGTAGAGTTAAAGTGCTATGCAAACAGCAGTGCACCACATATTCTCCCTAACCAAATCAGTTGAGGCCTTTTTTCTAAAGCATGGACAAAAAAAATATTTAAAGTCAACAACACCGTGCACTGAACTACGGCACTGACAAAGTCAACAGATACTGTCCTCCATCCCTCAAAACATAAAATACAATTTAAATAAATTAGAAAACACTAAGTCATGGTTGGAAACTATTTGGTGCAATATAATAAAACTGTTAAAATTGATGACCCCCGACCACCATGACTATCCTTTGGGTTTACTTCATTAGTTATGTGACTGTTCATTTTTAAGCAAAAAAGACGTGCATTGTGCACTGAAACAGAAAAACGACATGCATTATTCACCGCATTCCATCTCAGTGCAGCAGACCGTTTCCTATTGCTGTTTACATAGGGAGCACGAAGCGATTATCCTCTTTGGTGGGGCAGTGGTGGTGGTGGGGGGGGGTAGAGAGAGAGGTAGAGAGGTCACCTTGGAGCTGAACTAGCACCAAGGCGACATCTTTGGCAATGGAATGTCAGAATTGAGCTCACTCTCCATGGCAGTCGTGTGAGTCCAGTTCTCGAGCCAGGCAGGTTTGCAGTTCTCCAGTGACAGCATCGTCAGGCTAACTCATCGGCAGACTTGGAAGAGCAAACCAGTCACTGGGAGCAGGGACGACCTTGTCATATCAAAACAGGAATCATAGCTGTTCATATTATCATAATGCTGATTTCCCTTTAAATTCCCGTTAACCCTGTTAAATTGACATGCTGACCACTCAGCTCCTGTTAACCTTGTTAAATTGATGTGCTGTCTGCAATTACAGTGAAACACTATCCAATCTCTTAATGTTCAGAGCAGGCCAGTGGACTGGAGCTCTGGGATATGCTGCTTTTCATACTATGATGGCTATTAAGCAACATAATAGTCAGTTACTCTTGGCAAGGTTTACAAAGGGACTGTCAGATAACATGGAGGCAACAGATCCATGATATTCAGCCACACGTGGTAAGGATTGTGGAGATATGGGATTCACAGAAGGCCTTGAAATCCAAGCGCTGGGAAATAATCAGTCATATAAAGATTAAAAGGTTATTGACTCGTCCAGTATGTTGTGACCTCGTATCAACATTAAACACGTTAAATTTTAACACTTGAGAAGAAGATCAGTTTATGCAACAATCACTCCTGCATGCTAAGCACTTCTTAAATAAAGAGGTACAGGAAAATGTGCCTTTTAATAGCACAAAATAACTCCTCTCAATTTTCTATTGGCCCTGGTTATGGGTTTCCACATGTGTCAGAAACACAGGTGACCAAAAAAAAGCATGGACTGGAGTGATACCCCACACAAAGTTTTCACATCACAGCATCATAAAGAGACAACACTCTTTTCCCTTCCAGCAAAAAGTACTCGCCAATACTAGATCATCGCATTGTACGAGAGATGCTGAATAAACAAAAAGGTTCCATAAAGAAAGTTTAAAAAATATGTTTTGTGCAGTTAAAATGGACTTACATGTCTTTGTGTTTCTCTTCAGCCAGGATCTGGTCATCTGCCTTCAGCCCATACCTTCAAACAGGGATGAACACATAACACATTAATGTATAAAGACACAATCTCTAAAATGGAAGCATAAATAGCAACCTCCCAAAGCAACAGGAGTAGGTTATATAAACGGATTCAGACATGCCCTCTCTATAGTAATGCCAAACAACATAAACTGCAGGTACTAATTCCCCAAATGGCTAGAAGGTTGCATAAGATTTCTTTTCAAGATAATCTATTCAAAATATACAAACTTGATAACTTTTTTGCTATGAATAACAAATAATGTCTCATCCAAAACAACTGTAATTTTTGAGAGGAAAACACACACTGCACAATAATATTCATTTTTAAAATCTAAAAATGATTTATAAATGTTTACTCCTTGCAAGATTTGTACATTCTGGTTCATCTCCTCTGAGCATTCAACACATTGAATCTACAACACCATAATAATATATATAATATATATTAATTAATGATAGAGCACCTTATAACTATGATCAAAATGATTCACAGGATTTGTTGTAGTGTGCGATTCTGTATTTTGTAGGCAAACTACAATTCAATGCATGTATTGTAATGTTGGAAAATGAACAGAATTATTGAGAACCAAATAAGGCCAACTAGTCCTTGTTATTTGCAATATTATGTGACAACAAATTGTTTTAAGCAAATGGTGTAGAAACCTCCAGCACAAGCCCTCTGACACCTAGTCCATAGAAGCATTAATTCCCCACCCCAGTAATTCCTCAAACAGTCAGTATCTGCCTCAGCATGTGCAGGGAAAGGGGGCCTCAAAGGGGAAGAGAGAAGAAAAAAAGATCAAGGAAAAAAGCCAGAAGAGGGTAGAGAAAACTGAAGTAAAAGTCAAAAGCCACTTCTTCAAAAATCAGGTCAAAAGCAGCATGGGCAGAAATCTGAAGCTGGACACTTTCTGCTGGGAATTCGTGCAGACTTCTAAGGAGAGGAAAAACTAATTTAAAAAAATACTCCTTTCTCTTTTGAAAAGTGCTATGGTTCTTTAACATTTGAACATGCAGAATGAACCCGTTTGTCTCATCTGAACAAGTGCATCTCCAACAACACAACACTTCCCCAGCACTGCGGTTGAGTCAGCATACACCATTGGCTAAAACTCTCAATCTACAGAACAGTAAATGGAATCCAAATTCAAGCACACCAACATCTGGAAGACAAAAAGAATGGCAGCATTCTGGAAAGAAACTGTTTTTATAATCACCAAATATTTTAATGAGGCACCAAACTCTCATGTGACATTAAACAAAAACAATTGTGGTTTCATCAGAATAAATCCTCATTCTGATGTAATCAGGATAAACGCTGTCGGCCTTCCCAACTCCTCCCTCCACAGGTTGCAGATAATCCAGAACTCTGCAGCCCGTGTCCTGTCCTGCACCAAACTCCCTGACCTCATGTCCTCCACACTCGCCTGACTCCACTGGCTCCCTATCCTTCAAAGGATCCTGTTCAAGATCCTGGTCCTCACATACAAAGCCCTCCATGGCCTCACCTCACCCTACCTCTGCGACCTCCTAACCCCCTACCAACCCACCCGTTCCCTCCGCTCAGTTGGCTCTGACCTGCTCCACGTCCCCCACCCGACCCACCTGCCCCACCATTGGCGAGAGATCCTTCAGCCACTCTGCCCCCAACCTCTGGAATTACATCCCCCAGTCACTCCGCCTCGCCCCCTCCTTAGCCTCCTTCAAGAACCGCCTCAAGACCCTCCTCTTCGACCATGCCATCGGCCACCCCCTTCCCCTCCCCTCCCTTCTCCCCCCATGACCCCAGCTCGGGTCTGAAATGCTGTACACTGTCCAGGGACTTCGAACGTCCTCCCGATGTGAAAGGTGCTATACAAATGTAACCTTGTTGTAAACATTGTGGAAGTCCTTGCCCTTTCCATCTACAGGGTTTTAACAGCCAAATTTGACAAAACCTAACCACTACTTTCAGATGTATCTGGTATCCATTCTTTGTGGTGTGCTTCACCAAGATTTCTCAATGTAAACATTATTAGGATTGGATGTGAAGAATGAGAGTGAAAGGTCAACATTAACATTTCCAATTCCACTGTCACCATTGTCCCTGCCTCAAACTTGAAATACAAGATTAATAAACACAATTGAATACAATTGCAACACTCTTGACTATACATTTATGATAATTGTGCACAAATAAAAACATTAACATTCTTCCTTTATGTAAAATAGCCTTCTATGGGAGAGATTTAAAACGCATTTTCTCCATGAAAATGCAAATGACAACAAAAAGTGCATTAATTTTTAATTAGAAGACTTTTAGCCATGAATACACTCAAATGTCACGCTACTTGCACATTCAGAACTAATACGGAAGCTTGATGTTTTGTATTTGGCTGAAACCTTCACGTTAATGAAAGTTTCATATGCAAATGAGATATTTTATACCATTGCACGTCTCCAATTTTGATCTTTCAAAAAAGTAAACTAGACCCAATAATGATTCAAAACTTCTGACAGTGCAGAACACTTTGCAAACCACATTGCAACAAATTATTACAAACTTACTATTCAAAAAGGGTATTTGCCCCCAGCTGAGGAGCTCAAACCTCATCATGCATAATCATCCTTTGGTATGTCTCCCCCTCCCACACCATGATTAACCAGGTTTAATGGTCCATGCCAGTCACAATGGATCCACCTGGAAAAATGCCTGCAACATGAAGCGTAAGTGCATTCAAAGACAACATTGCGACTCTTCCTCAAAAAAACATTCTAAATCAACATTCTGGCAGCTACTCCCTCACCTTTACAGTTTTTATAAAATTTAAGTCAACTGCAGTTAAAGCTACAAACTAATCCAATAAATGCATGCACACATTATTTAAAGCATTTGTAAATTAAGTTAAAAGAATTTACTTCAACATAATTTAGAAATGTACTAATAAAGCCAATACATTTTTTGGAAAATAAGTTACTCCCTTGTTAAAATGAAAGATGAAGGAACTGACTCAGACGATGTGGCTGGGCTCAAGGCCAGAGTGAACTTGATTTCACATCTGAACAAACAAGATGTTGCAACAGCTGCTTTGTATTCCATTCCATTAAGAACAGAATACATAATTCAACCTGGTCAAAGGGTGATTTGGTTCGACAGCACATCTATAATTCAAAGCTCACAAACAGTGCTCTACTAAATAATTTATTATGTCGCATCTTCCAATGAATTAAAAAAAACTTGCATATAAGCAAATAATGAATCGATGGCTCACAGTGAATATTGCTGAGAATCTTATATTGAAGCATAGCTTCAGATACAATTTTAATACATACAGTAGTTGATAGGAGTAGAAGGTCCTTAAAATAAAAGAATTGTTATGCAAATAGAGTGCTGTTGTTGGTTTTAGAAATTTTCCCATTGTATGAAAAACTGTCAAAATGCACCAGTTAATGAAGCTTTAGATTCATTGTTTGAATTCTAATATTTTTTTCTTTCAATTTACAAAGTAATCCTCAAAAAAATGCAGTATTTAAAAATAAAGTCAAAATAAACAACATATAATGACAATAAAATGGACAATCAAATTTAGATTAAAATTAAAAAGTATCCAGTTTAGAAATTCACTAAGGTTAAAGTTTTCCTCAGTAACTTGAGGAATAATGTTCTACCAATGTTTACTTTGCTTAACGATTATTTTGGTTCTAGTTTTCATAAGATCACCAGTCAGATAAAGATGAAAGACGTGTTTGACCTTCTCTTTCCAGCACACAAACTCTTCTACCATTTTCTATTGCAACATCAAGCCGTTTCTTAAATGAGTCCGATGTCCTGGCCTCAACCATGTGACCTGGCAACCCATTCAAAGTGACAACTTTCCCTGTGTTAAGAAATACTTTCCAGCATCACTCAGCCTTTCACAGCCCTCTCCTTTTTGGTTAACATGTTCGAATGCGTTATTCCAGTTTTACTTCATCTATTCAGTTGATATAAACTCAAGAAAATCTTCTCTTTGGAGTTTATTGAAGATTGAAATATCCAATTTATCTATTCGCTCCTCACAGCTCAGTCCTCTTACACTAGGATTAACGTTATTGTTCTCCTCTACAATACCTCCTGGGCATGGACAGCCCCCTTAAATTGCAGACCAGAATAGTATGCAGTATTCCAAGTGAGGCCTCAGACCACAAGACAACCAGCTTCTTCCAGTGATCTGAACTCAACTGATTTGCCATTGCAACATAGTATTTTGTTTGTATTATTTAGGTCCCCTCACTCAATTTGGATTCAGTGAACATGTCAACAAAATCCTCTAAATCTCTTTCAACTGAGCCCCCCACCCAGCCAATAAAAACACGTTCCATCTATAATTTGTACATTTTTACTACCAATATATAGTACCTTGCATTTCTCCAAATTTAAATTGACCACATCAGAGACATCAAAGGATTTTGTGGGACAATTCTCAGTTTTCTCTTTCTAGGGAGAACAGAGCCAACTTCCTCAACCATTCTTCTTTATATTCCTTACAAATAAAATTCAGAAGATCTGGAACAATCTTGACTGTTGTACCCTCTCAAGGGCAATATTCCATATGGGGCCAGCAATAGAAATTGATTTGCAGTCTATCGCTTTCCTAATCAAGACAGTATTTACAGCATGTCCTCAAGTGAAAGGCGCTATACAAATGTAATTTGTTATTGTATTAATTGCTGCAATTAGATAATTATCCATAACCAACCGTGAAAACATTTGTCAGGAACATATTTAGTATATGTATTTGTTCATGTGGTCACCTGCAAAATCAAAAGTTTAAATTGAAGAGTCTGTAAACATTTCAGACCATTTGTAGATGTATTTATTTATTAGTTTAAATGGATTGGTTATTGCAGTCATTCCCTAACTACTGCAGCTTAAACAGAAAATTCTGCAGTTGAAATTACTCCTTTTTTAAGAAACATAAAATTATTCTAAGACCTGGCAATGTTCCCAGCCTTCAACCAAAATAATCTAACTTCATTTCCCACCATACATTGAAGATGCACCCATATTACAACCATTGCCTGCAAATTAATTAACTGTGCTTACCCAATAGAAAACTGTGGGAAAAAGCACCAAATAAAAAACATAATATTATTTCAGATTAACACACTTTGAATAGTATGAGATTTTCTAAATGTTAACCATAATGGATGGTTACACTAAACAAGCAAAAACTTCATAAGTACAGTGAAATGTTATAATTCAACCATACCAACTATTCTATTTAACCATAATACCTACTCTTTTATCTCAGAATATATTTACTCAATACAACTAATAAATATATGCTATCAAAAGTTTAAAGTTATAGCATTCTTCTTTATATTCAAGCGCACAGTGTTCTTGGCAGATTTGCTCTGCAATGTTCCACCTGACAGCCCACACAAGAACACGTCAACTCTGATTCAAATGACTATTTTACCATGGTATACAAAATAAAGTATTTATTTAAACCTTCATCCACACAAATATAAATCTAGACTCATATAATCAATATAAATTGGAAACTTACTTCTCAAGGAAATCTGTGTCCACGACAGCACAGATGTCAAGAAGGGGATTTCCCATGCCAAACAGCACATTTTCACTGAAAGTAAAGCAGAAAAGCATGATTATGCCTCGGTTACAATAATAATCATCCTTACATTTGGTATAGGGCTTTATCACATCAGAAGGATGTCTCAAAGCACATCACAAGATTTACTGTGAAACGCAGTGAGTGTGCATTTGTAGGGAAACTTAACAGTTCAATTGTGCACAGCAAAGTCCCACAAACAGTCATGAAAGAATGAACAATTTAATTAGGGGCACCTCCGACAATTCAACAGCACTACTTTGGAGTGTCAGCTTAGACTATGTGAGTTCATGTCCTGATCTAGGATTTGAACCCAGTTACAATACACAATTTGAAAGACAAACACATCTCTTCCAAAGCGCTCACAGAATATCATGTCAGACAGTTTGCCCACGGTCATTACATAAGGAAGTTGTAAAATGTTTTTAAAATCATTGAGGAAACTAATGCAAGCTAGCAAGGGGAGGTTAATCTTTTTCAAATGTGAAAAAAAAGTTTCAAAGGTATTGAAAAGGCAAGTAGTTCAAATAGGGCCAGCAAGGATTTCTACTGCTAATCACTATCTACTTTGTGGGACATTGCTGTGCGCAATTGGCTGCCGCGTTCGCCCACAAATATACAGTCAATTCACTTTACAGTGTGTTCTGTGAAGCGCTTTGGGACGTCCTCCCGACGTGAAAAGCGCTATATCAAATGCAAGGATTATTATTATTATTATTATTATTATTACTGCAGACAGCACCCATGTGTGAACAGAATCATATTTAGTTAGGAAGCCCAGTGATCAAGTGTGCAGATACTCAAAGTCTGGGCTCGCATTTGCAATGAGATATCAGAGGGTATCTTGAAAAGTTCATAGAATTCTTGTCTCTGGGTCAGAAGATTGTGATTTCAACCCCCCATTGGCACTTGAGCTTGTTGCCTAAGCTTTCACTTAAGTAAAGTGGAGGTGCAGCTGCATTTATGGATAGACTATTCTTTCGATGAAATATTACAGCAAGGTTCTGCTTCCCTGTATTTGGAGGGTGTGAAAGATCCCATGGCACTGTTCAAAAAGGAAAACAGAGTTTCTTCCAGTGTCCAAAGAAATTGGGGATTCACCACATTGCTGTTTGTGGGATTTTATTACTGAGTGCAAAATGGCTGTCACTTACATGGACAACAAAACAGAAATGACACTTTACAGTTATTACTGTGAAGTACATTGCAACATTGGACATGACAGAGAATTCTTCTTCTACCCCTCAACTCAGCACCTTCAGAACAAGAAACATAGTAGCCACTGAATGCCAGAGATTCAGCTATTGTGTTTATTTTACTGCTGAGCTAAAGCAGGATTGGTATACAGAAAATGTAGACTTAAAAGTTCCCTTGCACCATGTTCTTCCAGGAATATCCATTTTTTTAGGGAGGAGAATAATTGTTCCAACTATACAGTACTTTCTCGTGACTGAACAAAAGCTACAGCAGTAGAGAAATGGAACAGGTTTGCTGCTAACTCATACAGTGCTGGGGAGTCCGGAACACTGTGGTGATATAAATAAAAAATTGCTGATGGTACATATCAAGGGCACTGATGTTACAGTACTGCTCAAGTCAGCAAATTTGATATTACTGTGTAAAAATCTGCTTAGGTATGGAATCTCAGCCTCTTAACTGGAAAGATTTTATTTTGAAAGTGAAAATAAATGCTTGTTAATTATAGCAAACTAGTTTCCACCTTATTTTATGAATGAACAGCATTCGGTTTGATTGTTGCTGCAACCATCAACCTAAATTTGACAAATTGGATTCTTCACTTTGCTACAGGGAAGAACAATATGAATCAAAGAGCAAATTATAGCCATCAGATTCACTGTTGTAACTTGCACCAAAATAGGAGGTGCTTGCTTCACACAAAATGAGGAGACAAATCAAAAACTGGCTTTATTTTTGCACAAGAAATGTTTATGGAAAAAATTGCCACATTGGGTGGAAGGGAAGTTGAATTTGGCAGATTCATGACAAACAGAAAACCATGTAAAGTCTGAAATGTGGTCACTGCATTCCTAAAAGCCAGCACACTTCATACTACAGTATTCCAATGGGAAACTGCTTAACATCTCCATCAACTACTGATTAAATGTGCATTTCAGAGATTTGCGTCTCAAAACTATTGATAAATAATCCTCACTTTTAAAAGAGCTTGTGACTATATTTGTTGGAAAAGGTGACAACCAACACAGTCCCATAATCCCACAAACAATCTGAATGTGACCAACTGAACCAAGCTGACACCTATGATATTAGCAGACATCTTATTTGATGATAACTGAAATTAGATCTTAATAAATGGCAAAAGCTACAATAATTTTGCAAAACCTCCAAATGGTGGAAGGGACTGAATACAGTACAGGAACATCTCCATCTACCGCTGCCACCACCACCCCACTTTAAACGTGGAGAGATTTGACTTCTGCTAAACAGACCCATGTCTCTTTACACAACTGTGTAGCATTCATGAAAGTGACTTCAGCAGAGGCCTGATGGGGTGGAAACAAAATTATCATCTCCCTCAGTTATACAATGGAGATCCAGAACAATTACGAACAATTATTTGTCATTGTCCCCATCCATGAAACTACGTCAGACAGAGTGAGTGGGAACAATGCTGTTCAACTGAAAAAGTAGATAAGATCTTGGATTAATGTGTCATTAAAAGGACAGCATCTTCAACAGTGAAGCAACAACAAAAACTTGCATTTATATTGCACTTCACAAGGGATAGCTTTACAGTGGCAGAGCTTGATGCTGAGCCAGGGAGAGGTGACTCTAGGCACAATCGAAGAGGAAGGTCTTCTGATGTAATCTGAAGACAAGCAAGCAGGAGGCAAGATGGAGCATGATGCCGAGTTTTGGGTGTAGTGGCTGAGAGCACCGTCACCAATGGTGAAGCGGAGGGGACAAGGGACATTCAGGAGGCCGGAGCAGGCACCAGGTAGTGAAAAGTTTGGAGAGGTGCCAGGGCATGAAGTGACTCATATGCAAGTGTGAGGATTTTGAAATGAATCCTTTCTGCAATAGAAAGCCGATGGAGCCTGGGAAGGTCTTAGGTGATGGGGTACAGAATTTGATATTGGTAAGCATTATGGGTGGCGGAGCTTTAAATTATTTGTATTTTATGAATGGTGGAGCTGGGGAGACTGGCAAGAAGAGCATTGGAATAATAAAGGAGTGTTCTTCCAATAGTACACCGAGTAGATAACATTTAATTTTACAACAAAATGATTGTTTAAAATCTTGTATGAGCTTGTAAGACTGTCATAAAATGACAACAGCGTAACCAGAAATCATGTTGCACAGACATCACTCCCAGGGAACAGCTGTCTGTTGTTAATTGCTCCATAACATCACCCGACTTTCCGTAATATCGCCCGACTCCGCCACAACCTCACTTCTCAGGCTGCTGAAACTCTCGTTCATGCCTTCATCACCTCCAGGCTCGACTATGCAAACGCCCTGCTTGTCGGCCTTCCCAACTCCGCCCTCCACAGGCTGCAGATAATCCAGAACTCTGCAGCCCGTGTCCTCTCCCGCACCAAACTCCGTGACCCTATCTCCCCCACTCTCGCCCGACTCCACTGGCTCCCTATCCTTCAGAGGATCCAGTTCAAGATCCTGGACCGCACATGCAAAGCCCTCCATGGCCTCGCCGCACCCTACCTCTGCAACCTCCAAACCCCCTACCAACCCACCCGTTCTCTCCGCTCAGCCGGCTCTGGCCTGCTCCACGTCCCCCGAACCACCCGCCCCACCATTGGCGAGAGGTCCTTCAGCCACTTCAGCCAACCTTTAAGTAATAATATTGGGTTATCTGCAGAAATTGAGTATTCAATTCCACACTTCTGTTTCACGTAATGTAAAGTCCATTTTTAATTCAAGTGCAAAGGAAACTTCCCTTTAATAAAAGCGCTGCCAATAATATTTTAAGTTACCTATCAAATTCAAAAACTCACTGGAATACTATAGATGTGAAAAACTGGGATCTGTTTTCACATCACAGGATTGCTGCACAGCTTTGTACATTCAAGTTACCCCACTACATCTGAAGGCAACACTATTCAGAGCAGATGAAGCTGAGAGAAGGATCTGTTAAATCAATCAATGTGCCTTAACCCTAAGAGTGGGCTTCTCCATTGATTTGCCTATAGTAGAGTAATTATCTTTATAGATGGATTTTATTTTAAACATTAATTCATATCAGCTATTCTTATGGTTTAGGACACATTTTTCTTCAACTAAATTTAATAAATAACTGAGAACTGGCTGGAAATCTAAGTATTAACCAATATGCCATGATGCTGTCGTCATCAGAGATAATTACTGCCACTTTCCTGAAGGTCGTTTATCTTACGAAGGGTACATGAAGTCCTGTGGAGTCCTGTAGTTCAGTGGTTAGAGCACTTGCCTTGCAAGCGAGACACCTGGGTTCAATTCCAGGCATGGCGAAACCTTGGGCAAGTTTCCGTACTCCACACGCCTAATAGTATCCCTCCAAAAAATAAAAACAATAATAAATTGGTCATTTTCAATCCACAACTGTTTGTGGGACACTGCTGTGCGCAATTGGCTGCCGCGTTTCGCCCACAAATATACAGTCAAATTCACTTTACAGCATATTCTGTGAAGCGCTTTGAGACGTCTAGAAGACGTGAAAAGCGCTATATCAAATGCATAGATTATTATAATATTATTATTATGAAGCTAAAAGTATTGTAGAGCTGTCTGAATCTTCTCTGCAGTAGTTTCTCCGTAACCATCAGTACCAGGGGTTCAATCTCCCCTGCAAAGTAAAATGAGGCAAATTCCATGTCCATCTGAACATATAATACAGATCAAATTGAACCGTCGCTGATATCTCATCTGAAGGACAGTACCTCAACAATTCAGCAACCCCCTCATTTTGTGAATGCATTTTATTTAGTTTCTGCAATATGCATTATCTTGATAATTATATGTATTACATCTACCTACATTTCTTGACCTAACTGCTTTAATTAATCTAGTGCATCTCTAGAATCAATTACTTTTATATTATTCAACTGCCGCATAACTTGGTATCAACAATACAACAACAACAACTTGGATTTATATCGTACCCTCCACACCGGACGGCGTTTCAGAGCACTTCAAATGCTTTCCTCCAAGCCTATTTATTATGAACAGGGTGAGAGCGTGCAAACTCGCTAATTTGTCACTGATTCCCTGAATTTTAGGCTTTTTNAAAAAAGTATCATATATAGAACTTTCGTAAATGCCTTCTGAAATTTTAAAACACTTCCTGTTGTATTTTTGTTCAAAATTGAAACTCACAGGAATTAGCGCATTAGAGTAGTTTATCATTTTTTGGAAGAATAGATTACTTCCCAATTGAAAATCGCTGACGAAAGGGTTGGATTTAAATCTACAGTGCTGCAGACTGTTGACCCAATCCTACGTTGGTCAAACACAATATAGGGACCACGATCCGACCCCACAAAACATGTGTTTAACGTTATGGCAGCTAAGAAACATAATTCTACAAGTAAAACCAAATATCCCAAATAAACCAGCAACCCGACACGTGCAACGACTAACATCTGCCCGAGCATTCTCCACACGGGGACCCAACGGAGTCCTGTATCCCGACCAACTCCAACCTTTCGCGCAAACTGATTCAATTCAAATTGACCGAGCAAAGGGAAATGTGATTCTCTTAAGGGATTCCGAGCGCAAATAAAGGCGGCTGCCCTCTGCGCGCATTTCGAAACCTCTCAGGAAGCAATCTCTCCGGATCCAGGCGTTGCTTGGGAGTTGTGCATGTGAAAACCGTGCGGGGAAACTCGACCCCGCATTCCACCCACCCAGAGAGCCAGCGTTAGCAGGTTAGCGCAGAACAGCCGACACGTGGGGAAACCTGCAAGGATTCCTTCTCACTGCGGTGTGTCACTGTCAGTATCGGAGGGCAGGGTGGCTGGTTTATCGCAACAGGTGCCTAACGCTATCCGGAAAATGCCCGACACGAGACTGCGCACGAATTATCCGGACTACAGCGGCTGGGATATCGGTTCCACTAAAAATGTACATCTGTTGGGCTGAGCTTATTCCCGCCCACGGTAAATCGATTTACGGCAACGATTGACAGTGGGTTCATTTCAAAATATATATTCCAGAAAACCAAAAAGGCCATACACTGCAGTAAATCAAAGACGATATTGACCTAAATTACAAATATCCCTGGACCTCACTGACAATCGAATGACAAGACTTACGTCAAGGATGGCATAGCACCTCAACCTGACGGATGGATGAAAAGGCAGCAGCCGGTAAACAGACAGCACTGAGATCCACAGTGGCAGTACTCTGAATCTCTAGATGTACTGGCAAAGCATATCAAAGTAACCTGGAACCGGAAACCACGCCTCCTTCACTGCCCATTCATCGCTCTCTTCCATTCACAACATCTGCAGCTCTCAGACCGACACTGACAGACAGAGCGCACCACCAATCATTGCTGCATAAACCATTTTCCGCTTCATCTGGGTTGTCGCCAACTCATCGATTTGCGACGCAGCATCAGAAAAATAAGCGGATCGGGATGAATTTGGCAGATTTAAGATTTAAACGCGCTTTTTAAACATCCATAAGGTTATGGATAATTGCCTTGTACAATTCGAAATGAGCTACGCTGTTAATAGACTTGTCATACTGGGTTACTCGTGTGTGCTTGAAACATATGGATGGCAAGATGCTGCATGCGGACAACCAACACCAAGTGGCTATTCCTGGTGAAGCAATATTTAGAATTAAAACCAACCGTTTTAAATGTTTCCGGGGAAAATGTTCTCTAAAACAGCCCCTGGTGCAACGTGAAATATGGTAGAGCGAATATTTTCTTTGCGTGATAATGCGGTTGAATAGATTAGTTCAATACATGTAGCAGCGTTCACATGATACCGACATTGTTTTTAAAACATCGTGAAATATCAGATTGAAACGTTACAATCTGATGTAAATATTTGTGTTTGAGAGGAGCAGCTGGAACATTTCTACAATAATATAATGGCAGCAGTTCTTGTGCGTGGTCTTTCTGAAATCACTGAGGGGCGTGGGTTATTATATAACCATGAAAAAATGTTTCCCCACAGGCGCCAGTTTACTGCAGCGAGAACAGAGGCATATTAAAGTTTAATAGGCTGCGTATAAATTTAGTTTACAAATTCTGAAGTAAAATCAATTGGCTGCAATAATTGAAGACAAACAAGTGCCACTACAAACGCTGGGGGTCTGATCATTTGATTTTAAAAAGTGAACTGAATGGAGAGTACAGTGTAATATAGTTAATGCAATATATTAAACCAGCAGCAAATCTTTATTTGTGTAGATTTGGGATATATAATTTAATGTTCTTTTTGAGAATAAATGTGCAGTCACTTAGTTTTAGCTTTCCCAGATAATTTATAACACGGCTAAATACAGGGCAAAAAGCACATTCACAGCCCAATAATATCAAACTCAGAAGAGCACCCTCTACTGCATCAATGTAACATTGCTAATTCCTGGATCAGCCATACTTTATGCCTCTCCAAATGAAAGTATTCATTTTGCTAGGAACCCAATCTGCAAGAAAGAAAGAGGATCTTTCCAAAAAACCGAGAAGAATTATTTGAAACCAGTTCCCAGGTGAAAGGACACTGTGCTTAGTAACTGATAGAGCAAGAATATTCAAAAAATATTGTCAACAAATAAGGCAATATTGAGGAAACTCTTGCCTGTGGGTTTTTTTCAAAGAATAATCAGAAGTTTTCAAATAATAATCATTGGACAGCTGACGAGCAGACGAAGCAGGAACTTTTCCTGAACAGTATTATGAGCAACACAAAATATGTGGGTGGATTGCTATAATTCTTCAGCAAAGACACACTCCACAATTCCCTCCTCTTTCTTGTCCCCTTCCCTCCCAGAGCTCCCAGTCAGCTGTATGACAGCTCTGGGAGAGGAGGGAGCAGTATAAATGTAAGGTGTAAAAGGCACAATATAAATCTAAATTCTTGTTCTAATCCATTAATAATTTATGTAGCACATGTGCAAAAACAGAAATGAAATAAACCACCAATATATTTTGGTGAATATGGATGAGGGAGGAATTCATGCTCTAAATTAAACTACTCGACCAGATCAATCATAGTGGATATTCACAGATAGTCACATAGTGGGAATGAAAATGAACATTTTATGAAAATATACATCTCTGAATGGTGGAGTTAAAAGTATAAAAATATTGGTAAATGCTATTATGGTTGTGATACCATTAATTCAAGATTGTGTCCATAAAATATGGTCACTATACTTGAAAGTATTCTGTGAAGCGCTTTGAGACGTCTCAAAGATGTGATAAGGCGCTATATCAAATGCAGGGATTATTATTATTTGTTGCCAAGACACCTTGGTAGTTACAGGAAAATGCAATTCTAGCATTGAAGAGTCTAAGCTCATAACTAAATTACTCAAATACAACCAGAAAAATAGTACAATCAGAATATAGCATAAACTTGGGAAAACTAGAGGTTAGTTGTACCCTCCAGTGGAGACTGTTTAACTGTTTAAGCTACTTGTGAAAAATGCTAAAGAATATGAACTGAAATCATAGGAGTTTCTATTTGGTAGTAAAGTACTGAGAAATTGAAATTTTTTAGGTTGTCTACAAATATTCATGCATACGAGGTGGAGAAATCATTAAATTTAACAGCAATTTGCAGACAAGCATTTTGGATGTCTACTGTATGCAGTAAAAGTAAGATACTTTAATATCCCTTTTCTTTTACACTGTAAAATCGAAAATGTTACTCATGTTCAGAGGCTAGTAGCTTTGCAATTAAATCATCAGATTCACAATTGCAAAATTTACGAGAAACTAACAAAACGAAAATGTAAATTTAATGTTACTCACTACCCTGTATTTCAGGGTGAGGATTCACTTACACACAAGATGTTTAGCAAGAATATTTTCTTTGAATGCTAGGAAATATTTTGATGGGAAATGTGTAACACAAAATGATGCTGGGAGCTAGGGGGCGTGAGTATTTGTGGGAAAGGCAGTGGGCTTAGCTCAGGTTGTGAGTGTTTAATGTTTATGGCAACTCAGCTTGCCCATATTGTTTGACATGAATGAAAACTGTTGATAGGAATAGTCCAACTCTAACNAAAAAACTATGATTGAATTCTGTTTGTCTAAACATGTTTCAGGTTCACCCATAATTCCCAGCAAGTATGAACCCTTCCCATAATCAGTGAACATAGAGCAGTTTGAGGATCACGGATATGCTCAAGCACCATGAGTTTTAACGAGGGAAGAGTCTGAAACAAATTTAAGTGTTCTTAGTCCCACATTAACTACTTGACAACAGTCTGTACCGTTTAATTAATGAATTGGCTTGCTACAGATGGAATGAATGAAACTGATTTACGAGATTTATTGCTATGAGACTTGTGCTTCTGCGGCCTGTGCATGCAGTGAAATTATGAACCATTTGGTAAGATTGTTCCTAAATTGCTGTTGCACTTATAAAACCACAATACTTTTTAGAAGTGTGCATTTAGAAGTTATGTTTTGAGATTGTAAACCTTTGCTAATTTGCCACAAGCTTTCCAAGATCACACCAGCCACCTGCTACACTAGACAACAAAAAAGTGGATTTGCCTGTTCAGTCAAGTGGTAATTATGCTTTCTTTCCAATGTGTCATGTTTAACCTTTGTCGCAATATGGAGTCCTATAGTTTAGTGGTTAGAGCACTCGCCTCTCAAGCAAAAAAATCTGGGTTTGATTGCCAGCAGAGCAAAACTTTGGGCAAGTTTCCTTACTCCACACGCCTCTGTTCACCTAGCAGTAAGTAGGAACCCAGTTGTTAGTCAATTGGCAGATTACTTTTCCAGGGGTAATAATCCCTTCCAAAAAATACAAATAATTTCACTTAATTGGTCACTCAAACCACGATTGTTTGTGGAACACTCCTGTGCACAATTGGCTGCCAAAACTCTGCCGCCCGCATTCTTACCTGCACCAAACTCCGCTCCCCGATAACCCCAGTCCTTGCCAGACTAAACTGGCTGCCTGTCCCAGAGGATTAATTTGAAGATCCTCACCCTCGTCTTCAAATCCCTCCACTCCTCTGCACCCCCCCTACCTCTCTGACCTCCTCTCTCCTCACAACAGTGCCCGTTGCCTTCGTTCCACCGGGCCTGGCCTCCTCCTTGTCCCCCAAATTCTTTTCGACCACATCTTTGGTCACCTTCCTCCCCCTCTGCCCGGCTCGGCCCCGGGATACGTTACTGTGAAGCGCTCTGAGACGCCGTCCAGCGTGGAGGGCGTTATATAAATCCAAGTTGTTGTTGCTGCGTTTCACGTACAAAATATACAGTAAATTCACTTTACAGTATATTAAGCAACAATCCCCCGTTTGTTTTGCATTGTTAACATCTCTTTAACCCATCATCCTCTGTCCTCTACTCCATTTTCTCCTTTGTCTTCCTTGTCCTTCCTTGAGGGCTAACCCACATCTGTTAGCCCTCAAAAGCCTCTCCCTCCCAACATGCCCCAGTTCTAACGAAGGGTCGTGGACCTGAAACAGTGACTCACATTCCCTCTCTCCATAGATGCTGCCTGACCTGCTGAGTGTTCCCAGCGACTTCTGTTTTTGTTTCACTTTACAGTATGTTCTGTGAAGCGCTTTGAAACGTCTCGGAGACGTGATAAGGCGCTCTATCAAATGCAAGGATTGTTATTTTCTCTAAAAATCACTGAGTTACAATTCGAGTCATTGTTTCAATTCAAAATCGTACAAGAATCCTCGCCTTTGACAGAGCGCCTTATGTTGTTGTTGCGATGTCTGAAAGCACTTCGCGGGATAGACTGCAAAGTGGACTTAAGACTATGGATTTTGTGGGCAAAACGCTGCAGCCACAACAGCGCCGCGCCATCAGCCGAGGAGTTGAAGGTCCAGTTTCGTTTGGGGGATTGTTGGTCGGGATGGAGGGAGAAATTCCCTTCTCTCTCTGAACAGTGAGTGCCATGGGATCTCTCAACAGACGGTTTAACGTCTCATTCGGAGGACAGCACCTCCCCCCAAACAATGCACCGCAAACCCGGACGACGTGATTTCGAGTGAGTTTCAGCACTGGTACATTGAAGACTGGAGGAGGTTCTCACACACTGCAAAGTGAGATCGGTTATAAAGTCCGCATCTGAAATGCATTTACCAAACTCGGTCTCGGGGAATGGACAAGCGGGGAATCCGTGGGCCCTGCGGAGTCACTTGCATTTCTGGGCCGGTTAAAAAAAAATGGAGGTGCCCTTCCCAGTCATTTTGAATTTGAAATCAGATGTGCGTTCCCCTCACCTTCTCTTCCTCTCTGTGAAACTTGAATGGAGGTGGAATAAAGGGGAAGAGGGAGGAGGGCAGGGAATGAAGTCCGCGCACAGCAGACACTCAACCCGACCCGCACTCGATCGAAATCCGAGCGGAAAGGTCGCCGTTCTCCCAACCGCCGCGCGAAGTGCGATTCAAAATAACTCGCGGTGACCGAGAAGCGACTGACGATGTTAAATCAACCGTCGGGACTTCACAAGGAATGTGCAGCACAAGTACAGCACAATCCGCTTTAGATTTTTTTAAAAAAAAAGTATTTCTCTGATAAAGCACTACGGGTTACTGTTTAACGTCGCTTCTTCGATACACACACACACACATATACACACACACACTCACATATATATATACACACACTCACATATTCTACTTCTTCACCCGTTGCCGTCTTTCTCTCGCTCTCTTTCTATGAATCGAGCTGTTAAAATGAATGGGCCGATTTGTTTTAAACTGGGGGTGGGGGTGGGGGTGGGGGGGTGGGGGGGGGGGATTTTTTTTTAATCCACAATAAAGCGGCAAACGCCAGGGTTCGGGTTGCAAGAGCCGCGTTATTCGCTTCTCCGCACAGAGAGAGAGAGAGAGACAGAGAGAGAGAGAAGAGGGCGAGACACTGAAAGCCAACGTTCCCGGTTGCACTGTGCACCTGCGTACGTGTGTTGGGTTTTGTACCTGAGCTTGAGCTGGAGTTTGGCTTTCTTGGCGGGTTGAGGTCCGTCTGCCATGATGGGCACGGAAAGGGGGAGGGGGGAGCGAGGGGGAGAGAGGCGGGCAGTGCGCTTGCGCACCAGCCGGAAGCGGCGGCTCGAGCCTCACTCGGTGACGTTGCGGCCAACTGCCGCCTCTCGAGCTCCGAGCGTTACCGACTGCTGACCCCCCCACATCCCACCCCCACACCGCCCCCAAAGGGCCGGGCGGGGAACGCGCTCTGTCGGCTCTCAGCTCTCACCCACCACCGTCTGTTCGGGTCTGAAACTGACATCGGTTTGTCACGTTTACACTTGAAACAGGTCTTGTAACTTGTGTCATTTATACACATATATATATATATATATAAATATATACTACAGATCAACAGCTTCTCATCCCCTCCCACAACCCGGACCGGACCCGCGCCACCGCAGCGGACCAATCGCTTGATTACACAATGGCGACAAACAAACAACAAAAATAAAACAACAAGTTCCTTCCCGAGTTAAACTTCCCCCTCTCCGGCGGAAATAAAATGAAGTTCACAATTTGAACGCTTTCCCCGAGAAATTCAGGATTCACCCCCTCCCTCCCCCCACCCACCCCACCCAGGCCGGAGGAGGGCCGCCCGGGGGGGGGCGCTTCCGGCGGACGGACGGACCGGACGGAGGGAGGGACGGAGGGGACGGAGCGAGGGAGGAGGTGGGTGGCGTCCGGGTGGGTGGGCAGAGTCCATGTCGGTAACGGTGCGGTGGCTCGGTGAGCTGGACTGGACTGACTGACTGACCGACCGACCGACCGACCGACGTACCTTTTCATCCCGGTTCATCGGGGCCCCCAGAGAGGGAAGGAAAGAACAGCTCTCAGTTCTCGCGAAGATGATCCACAGTTTGTTCCTCGTTAACTCCTCGGGGGACATCTTCCTGGAGAAGCACTGGAAGAGCGCGGTGAGCCGATCGGTGTGCGATTATTTTTTTGAGGCCCAGGAAAAGGCGGTGGAGGCGGACAACGTGCCCCCTGTGATCCCAACTCCTCACCATTACCTGGTCAACATATACCGGGAGAGGATCTTCTTCGTGGCCGTCATCCAGTCCGAAGTGCCTCCTCTCTTTGTCATCGAGTTCCTCCATCGAGTGGTAGAAACTATACAGGTTCGTGTGTGTGTGTGTGTGTGTGTGTGTGGGGGGGGGGGGGAGGCAGACAATGTAAAAATAGTTTAATTGTTTTAATTGTCAGCTTTTTAAGCATAAAAGTCTGGTTCAAGTTTAAATCCCAGTGTGTCAAACGTGATGCAGTGGTTTGGGAAAATAATGTCACTTAGCACGGGATGGTCTCAAGTCGTTTTAAAACTGATGAGTTGGCATTTGAACTTAAGCAATGTCATGTTCTGTGTTTCGCCAGGACTATTTTGGAGAATGCTCCGAAGTTACAGTTAAAGATAATGTTGTGATCGTGTACGAGCTTCTGGAAGAGATGTTAGATAACGGTTTCCCATTGGCAACCGAATCCAATATCTTAAAAGAACTGATTAAACCCCCAACCATCCTTCGTTCTGTGGTCAATACTATTACAGGTATGAACTTTTCCAGATTATTGGAACAATATCAATTCATTTAAAAAATATCTCCACTCACTCTTGAGACATCAAATGGTATATTTAGTGACTCTGTCTGGGACGTCTTCCCGACGTGAAAGGTGCTATAGAAATGTAATTATGTTGTTGTGTGACTGTACCTATGATCACATCCTCCTGCCCCCCGCGAAGTGTCACACTCCGCCGCTGTTAAGCGCACCAAGGTGCTGCCCAGCGTGAAGGGCACTATATAAATGCAAGTTGTTGTGGTTGATCATATAATGGATCCCTATCATCAATTTGCGACCTGTCCCTTACCCGTACACAGGCGGCAGCTTCTCATGGGCTGTTCAGGGCCATCAACTAACTGTGCATGAAACACCCTTCTGTCCTTGTTGATCGGGGTGTCACTCTGATGTCCTTATCTGCTATCATGCCTCAATTTACAATGAAGCTGCAGCCTTGTTCTGCTTTGTTTCCACAACACGTTTAAAATGTTATTGTGAATCGTATTGTATAGAAAATTTCACCGAAGGGAGGCAGTTTGCTACCTTTGTACTTGCTGTACTATTCAACAGCCAATCTCGTTCCCAACCATTTTTCACAAGCCCCTTACCAGCAAAAATCAGCAGATTTTAGCTCACTTTTCCCCTCTGTTAGCCAAGGGATGCTAAAGCCAAACTATACAACCCCAACTGCTACCTATGGCTGAGATCGGCTAACTCAGCACGGAGCAGAAATTTAAACTAATCTTAAGGTAATAATAATCACAATTTGTTTATCATGTCGATTTATCAAGTTTGAAAGTCTTCAACAACAACAACAACAAGATTCCATTTATAAAGCGCCTTTCACGTCAGGAGGACGTCCCAAGGCGCTGCACAGTTGGGTCAGGACCCGAGCAGGGGGAAAGGGTCAGGGTGAGGGGAGGGAAGGGAGGGAGCAGGAGGGGGGAAATGGTCAGGGTGAGGGGAGGGAAGGGAGGGAGCGAGGAGGGGGAAGAGAGTCGAGAGGGGAGCTGAAGGCTCGGTCAAAGAGAAAGGTTTTGAGACCGGCCTTGAAGGAGGAAAGGGAGGAGGCGGCGAAGGCACTGGGGGATGGAGTTCCAGAGCCTGGGGCTGAGAGGCTGAAGGCCCGACCACCGATGGTAGGGCGGTTGGGGCGGGGGACGTGGAGCAGACCGGAGCCAGAGGAACGGAGGGTACGGGCAGGTAGGTAGGGGGATAGTAGGTTGGAGAGGTAGGAGGGAGCAAGGCCGTGAATGGCCTTGTAGGTGAGGATGAGGATCTTGAAATCAATCCTCTGGGGGATGGGGAGCCAGTGGAGGCGAGCGAGGGTGGGTGTGATGTGGTCCCGAAGCCTGGTGCGGGACAGTACACGAGCTGCAGAGTTCTGAATGACCTGCAGCTTGTGGAGGGAGGTGGCGGGAAGGCCGGCGAGGAGAGAGTTCCCATAGTCCAGCCTTGAGGTGACAAAGGCGTGGACCAGGGTTTCAGCAGCGTGAGGGGTGAGGTAGTGCCGTAGTCTGGCGATGTTCCGGAGGTGATGGAAGGCGGTGCCAGTTGTGGTGCGGATGTGAGGGAGAAAGGACAGCTCAGGGTCGAACAAAACGCCGAGGTTCCTGACTGGCTTTGAGAGGTGGAGAGTGCAGCCTTGGATGCTGATGGTGTCAGCGCCTGAGGTGCGGAGGCGCTGACGTGAGCCAATCAGGAGGGCCTCGGTTTTTCGCACGTTGAGCTGAAGAAAGTTGTCTCTCGTCCAGGACTCGATGTCGGACAGGCAGGCTGTCAGGACATCGGTGGTCGTGGAGTTGAGAGTAGAGGAGGAAAGGTAGAGTTGGGTGTCATCCGCATACATGTGGAAGTTAACTCCATGTCTGCGGATGATGTCACCAAGGGGGAGCATATAGAGGGTGAAGAGGAGGGGACCGAGGACAGAGCCCTGAGGGACACCACATGAGACAGTGCGGGGGGTGGAGGAGAAGCCATTCGTCGAGACAAAGTGAAGACGGTGAGAAAGGTACGACCTAAACCACTCAAGGACAGTGCCTTGAAGGTTGAGGTGGGAGGACAAGCGGTGGAGTAGGATAGCGTGGTCGACCGTATCGAATGCTGCCGATAGGTCGAGGAGGACGAGGAGGCAGAGGGAGCCCTGGTCACAGATGGTCAGGATATCATTGGTGACCTTGACCAGGGCAGTTTCTGTGCTATGGGCAGCACGGAAACCTGACTGAAGGGGTTCGAAAAGTGAATGGGTGGAAAGGAAAGAGCGCAGTTGGGAGGCGACAACTCTTTCCAGACCTTGGAGAGAAAGGGGAGGTTGGAGATGGGCCGGTAGCTTGATAGCTGCGACGCATCAAGGGAGGGTTTTTTCAGGGTGGGCGTGATGGTGGCAGTTTTTAAGGAATGGGGACAGAGCCAGAGGAGAGGGACAGGTTGATGATGTCGGTGATATGTGGGGCAAGAAAGTGGAGCTGGGAGATAAGGAGTGGAGTGGGGATGGGGTCAAGGGAGCAGGTGGTTGGTTTTAGGGATAGGATGAGTTTGGTGACAGAGGGTGGGGAAACGGGTACAAAGTGAGTAGGGGAGGATGGGTAGCAGTCGGAGTGTGGGAGGAGGGGGGGGGTTGGTGGATGTTGGAGGGGAAGTGACCGCGGAGCGAATTCCCTTGATCTTGGATTCAAGGAAATCCAGCATCTCCTCGCAGTGAAGGTTGGAGGAGATGACCTGCGCGGGGTGGCGGGGGGGACGGAGGAGTCGGGTTGTGGTGGAAAACAGTAGCCTGGGGTTGTTCTTCGCCTCCAGGATTATCCTGGAGTAGAAGGACGACTTGGCCGAGGCTAGAGTGGAGCGGTAAATTTTGAGGAGGTCCAGCCAGATTTGTCGGTGGACCGTTAGGCCAGATTTGACACAGGTGCGTTCAGCAGCCCACACCTGGCTTTTCAGTGAGCGGAGATGGGTGGTGTACCAGGGGGACAGTGCGGGAAGTGATGGGGGCAAGAGTATCGAGTGTGGAGGAGAGGGTATTGTGGAGGGAGAGAGGAGAAGAGGGGTCGGTGAGGGTTGAAGGCCAGAGGGAGAGGAGTTCAGAGGACTCCAAGGCATCGGTTAGGGATTGTGGGGGTAACTTCTTCCAAGGGCGGTAGAAGATGGTGGTGGGTCTGGTGGAGGTGGGGAGGGGGGTGGAGGTGGTGAAGGAGATGAAGTGGTGGTCAGAGATGGCCTTGTCGGTAATAGTGACATCCGAGGCACTGAGGCCCCGGGTGATCACCAAATCGAGTGGGTGGCCGTGACTGTGAGATTCAAGATTTTTCTGTGGAGTGTACTGACTGTATTTGAAGGTGAATGGGGCAGCTAGTTTGTACACTGCGATGTGCTACTAACACATATTGAAATGACAGGCCAATTTTATCTGGGGGATTGTTGGCCAGGGCACTAGGAGAAACTCTCTCCTTTTTTTTGAATTATGCCATGGAATCTTTAATATGCACCTGAACAGGCAGAGAGCCTTGGTTTAATGTGAAGGTTGCCACCTCGGTTGCTCTGGAGCCTAGACTGCGAGCTCAAAGCCACAATGTAGGGCTTGGTCCCACAACCTTATGACTCAAAAGACGAGAGCGCTATCAGCTGCATGGTCTGCATGTCCAGTGCTACGGCAGATTTTGTTCCCCTTTGAACAATTTCTGTTGATTAACATCCCACAATTAAATGAATAAAAGCAAAAGCTGGGAATCTACAGAAGATCAATCAGCATCTAAACTGAGTTAATGTTTTAAATATCACCCTTCAATTATTAAAATAGCTTTTTGATGTGACACAATATTAAACCAATACCCAAGGGGGCTCGCTTTGTCTAATAAACTCTACTTTTTCTTGTTTCTTTTAGGAAGCAGTAATGTAGGAGACCACCTTCCCACGGGACAACTATCTAATATTCCTTGGCGAACGGCAAGAGTAAAATATACCAACAATGAAGCATATTTTGATGTTACAGAAGAAATTGATGCCATAATTGACAAATTAGGTAACATTTATTCCTAACATTATGCCAGTGAAAATTTTCACAATCAATCACATGGGGCAGTTAAAAGATGCAAAAGCTGTTCTTGCACTAAAGGTAACAAGCTTGGAATTATAATCCATCCAGTTTCTGGGCACTGACTGAGTGCTGGTTGTTCTCTCCTGATTGTATTCTGTTGTCTCGGGATTGGGCAAAACAAATAAAACTAGAAAAATATTTGTGATCTGTACTACCACATGAGGAAGACACAAACTTTGTATGGTTAAATGGTTTAAGGAAGCAGTGGAGCTGTAAAAACATTCTTAAGTAAAGATCAGTAGTAGCTGGGATGCCGCCCGGCTTGGAGGGCACTATATAAATGCAAGTTGTGGTTGGGTAAGTTAAAATGGAACACTTGACAATTTAAGGCAGGTAAGAAAGTTTGAAACGTTAGAAGTTTCATCACAAATAGATGCATTTTATTTGTGGAGTCCTGTAGTTAGAGCACTCGCCTTGCAAGCAAGACACCTGGGTTCAATTCCAGGCAGGGCGAAACCTTGGGCAAGTTTCCTTACTCCACACACCTAATGATAATCCCTCCAAAACAATAATAAATTGGTCATTTTCAATCCACGGCTGTTTGTGGGACATTGCTGTGCACAATTGGCTGCCGCATTTCGCCCACAAATATATGGTCAATTCACTTTACAGTATATTCCATAAGCGCTTTGAGACGTCTAGAAGACGTGAAAAGCGCTATATCAAATACACAGAATATTATTATTATTTTGAGTCAGTTAGTTTAACCATTCATACTGCTTTTTTATGCATTGCTTTAGTTCCATTATGATTTTTAAATGTTACTGCCTCATTTAATCTTGAGAGTCTCACTTTAATCTATTTGGTTGCTTTTTATTTCAGGATCAACTGTCTTTGCTGAAATCCAGGGTGTTATAGATGCTTGTATCAAGCTGAGTGGAATGCCTGACCTCACCCTTTCCTTTATGGTAAGTAAATATTGGTTTATAGAAGCATATTTATTTAACTCTTATCAAATACGGATCTTTTTCACATATGTTCACTGGAATTTTTGTAAAAATGTCTTAATGTATTCAACGATCAAATAGTGATGACAAAATGTAATTGTAAATCATATTTTATCACTGATAGAATCCAAGACTGCTGGATGATGTTAGTTTTCACCCATGTGTCCGTTTTAAAAGATGGGAAGCTGAGCGAGTTCTGTCATTCATTCCTCCAGATGGAAACTTTCGTTTGATGTCTTACCATGTCAGCTCTCAAAAGTAAGATGAAATCTTCTACTTTTTCGAAATATCAAATTAAAGCACTTCCTTGATACCTGAATTAGTTCATTGAGTGGACTGTACATTTTTTGTCCAACAAGGAGTACCTTACACAAGGGCTTCTGACTCATAGGATTGCATTATATCCAAAATTGTTGAATTTTTTTTATAACAGGCAGTGAGTGGGTTGAATATATCGTTGACTCTCCACAAAGCTAGATCTTGTTCACACTCGTATTGGCTATTGGAAAGAAGAGGACAAGTCACTGCTCTTGTGAACTTCATAAGTGGTTAGTTGAGGAATGCCAGAGGCCTCAGTGCAGGATGCCTGTTTGTCCCTCAGCTTAATGAAGTAACATTGTGCTGTTTTTTTCCCAATAATAACAACTTAACCAACCATGGATTGTCCTGGGTCTGTACTGATCTGGTTGATTGGAACAAAGATCTCAGATCAGAGATTGTGCCATGTTATAATACTAGTTGAAATTACTGCTACCTTGTTATAATGGGACTCTAATATATATGGGTGCAGATTGTGAATGAAAACCTCAATTATAAATAAATCTTCAAAAACGGAATGGTGGAAGACATTAATATTGGAAACTTCATTATTTGTGTTTTCAGTTTGGTAGCTCTACCTGTTTATGTGAAACACAACATCAGTTTCCACGAAAATGGATCTACAGGACGATTTGACATAACAATTGGTCCAAAACAGACAATGGGAAAGACTGTGGAGGGTGTCCTTGTTACTGTTCATATGCCTAAAGTTGTGCAGAATGTGAACCTTACTGCAGTACAAGGAAATCACACATTTGATCCAGTCACCAAGGTGAGTCTCAGCTTACTTAGCTCTAACCATTTTTTCAGCCAGTATCAGAAATCCATCAATATAGTTGGGTCTCCAAATAAAAACTATTTGGTTTCACATATGTACAATTTCCTGTTTGAACAGTATGGAGTGTGCACTCTCCCCAGAGGGATGCACACTACTTACCTGATTCCAGAGAGTTTAGGCGCAGGTTGGCAAGAAATAAAGCTTGGTGAAGTTGCCAGAGCATGTATACGAGTACCTCTGGATTTAATCAGCAGAAATCATGCAGTTTACCATTGTGAATACTGGCAAGCTAGGACACTACCCTTTAGGCCTTTGGCTTGCAGAGTCAACAGTACTGACCAGGCTCTCTGGGCGGTCATCAACAGTGTCTTGGACCACTGCGTTTAATGTAGGAATGATCTGCTTGCACCAGGCAAGTTCCTCAGAACCAACTCTACCCCAAACATCCCCCTCTAACTCACCCCCACCCCCAGGAGAGTCCCTGAGCATTTTGTAATTTTTGGTGATATTCTGAAAATCTTTTGATGGATAGGTCCCAAAAAATGAAAATAAATCTGAAAGTGGACTTTTATTTTGGTTACTAATCAGATAATTTTAAATTGAGAGTTGAACAAACTCTTCCAAGTAAAATATTTAAATGTAGATTGTATCTTGTTAAAGGAATCCCATCACAATGCTTTGAACAATTCACACTTTTAAGTTGATAAGAGGAAACCACATTCAAATCCTAACACTTTCTCTCTTAGTTGTTAGTATGGGACGTTGGAAAGATTACCCTGCCAAAGCTACCAAGTCTGAAGGGATTGATCAGGCTACAGTCTGGAGCTCCCAAGCCAGAGGAGAATCCATCTCTCAATATTCAATTTAGGATTCAACAGCTTGCTGTATCAGGTAAGAATGAGGTTTGGCTCTCAATAGTTATTGACCTTTACAAAGAACTGAAGCAATTTGAGACCTTTTGATGTGAATGAGGTATTATCAAATCCAAGAATTATTAGCTACAGAAACAGATTTATATAATCAGAGTTTATTGAAGAAAAAGTAAGCATGAACTTATGTTCAGATGTAGATTAATGTATTTAAATATGCTGTAATGATTTCAGGTGTTAATCTGGTTTAGTTGGTTACGTATTAGGTAAAACATTTTTTGCAGCATGTTGCAAAGCAGAGGTACATTTTAGTATTGGAACTAACTTACTTCCCTGCCTATATAGGTTTGAAAGTGAATCGACTGGACATGTATGGAGAAAGATACAAACCTTTTAAAGGTGTGAAATACGTCACCAAAGCTGGGAACTTCCAAGTCAGAACATGAGGCAAAAAAAGTTTCAGTCTTAAAAGATGATTTGTAATCAAGCATAATGCGTAATTTTGGAATATATGCAAATATTCTGTCGTGTCAATTATAGGATTTTCATAAATTGCTTTAAAGTAAATGAACTCATTCCAGGTAAAATGAGAGTAATATTTCTAAAACATTGTGATCAACTGCCTTAATCATAAAATTGTTTAATAATTAAGTGGTATTATGTACTTTTTAAATGGGTATTTTCCCAGGTCTTCTTGCTCATTACAAGTGCACATTTAGACAGTTTACAACTTAATAAAAAATGCTGTAGTTAATACATCTCAGTGCCATAAGAATCATATTGTAATGCCTTAAGATGCCATGCTGTAGAAATGATAGAATATTGCCAAATTGTGCTAGGAAACATGTTCATTGAATATGAAGTATTCCAATTATGTTCACATCTATGGTGTAATTGCTTGTAAACTATTCATCTTACAGTACATGTAGCAACCAGTGGACATTTTCCAACAGAGTTCAATGCAAGTCCTTGTAAATGTCAACTTACATTTTTAGAACAGTGAATTTTCTACTTGCTAAAGCAACAGTAACCAAATAAAGGGAACTATCAGCTAGTGTGATACACGTGGCAAATGTAGTGTTGACAAATGTATATATTGGAAGCATAAAATGTTTAGTCAGATCTAAACTATGCATAGTTGGTTATAATTTGTTTTGTAACACTTTGTATATTGAATTGTTGCTCAATTGTCTTAGATTTCCAATGTACACTTCAGTGTTAGCTGAATATGTGGAAATGCCAAGGTGCAAGTTTTGAATGCGTTTTTGAGTTGATAGTTTCACTGATGTATCTTAAAGGAATTCTAACTGCAATGTGCATTTGTACATTGCCCCCCCACTCGAACGCTTATGTGCCCAGAACTCCATCGAAGCATTGGAGCATCTATAGTTTTAAATCAAGTGATGAAAATGATATTGTGGAAATTTAAGCATTCCAAAGTTAATTTTAAATAAAATGGTAACTTGTCACATTTTATATATCCAGTATTTGTCTGAATGTTTCACATGATGCAAGACAGCAGCTATTCTTCATTTTTACAACATTACCTATTATAAGAACAAATATTCAATTTAATTTCAAAAGGCTAAAGCATGTGCAGCGAAGCTCTTTCCAAATGAAATTAGAATTAGGTCAATGTAAGCTAAACGGTCCTGCATTTGACTAGAAGCAGCAATTTTAAATGTGTTACCTCTAAGAGATAAATGGTGGATCAATGGAAAAAGAAAAAAAAACATCAAAAAGTTATAAAATACTTTATTTTAAAAATTGCAGATACTGATAATGCAACTACTAACTGCACTTTAACTGAAGTAGAACCAATGAAATACTCCCAATGATGGTTTCAGTTTCCTGTCAACCACAACAAAATTCCACGCACGCACTGACCAAAATAACTCAATTATAAATGAGTTCTGTAACTGCCAAAAGAACAAAGTAGATATTTCATGATTCTCCCATTGTAAAATTGGGTAGTTTCTTTAAGAGAAACAAAACACTGATAATTCCTTTGGTTACATTGTTTTGCTTCTATTCCAGTTACAGAATATTTGTTTTTCCTCTGATCACTTATTTGCGGCCACTAGTTATCAGTACATCTTTCTCCTGCTAATTATGAGTAAATTATGTAATGGAAGAGCAGTGTCCAAATGGACAGTCGTTTAATCCACTAATTCCACCATTGAATGACTTTGTACATGTAGTGAATAAGTCATAATTTGCAAATCTATAGAGCTTTTACACATAATTTTTAAGACGTTGTCCAAGTGGCCAAATTAGTAAACTGCTCAAAAGAAGTGTTCTCAACTAGCAAGAGAAGAATAATACAAAAAGGAATGACTTCATGATTGGGCTTCAATTCTGCTTCAACAGCAGTTAGGAGTTTATATTTACATTCAAGCTGTAGTAAAGTCATGCATTTACCCCTTCGCACAAAGATCAAGTAGTTACATGTAGTTTCATTACTCCCTTGTTTCTAGAATCGAGTGAAACCGGCCAAGGTGCAGTTAGATGACACAAGCCAGCAGATGTGCTGAAAGTAATAGAAGGTAGCAAGCAGTAGAGAACCATTGTCAGCTTATTTATCACTTGCAATGGATCAAATTGAACAGACTCCATGCGATTGAAAGATGGTAGAATGCGCATATGTGTAGCCAACATTATATAATTAAACTAAGCCTAACTACAGTTTTCAGACAAAAAAAAGTGAGCTGGTGAACTTACATGATGCAGAACTAAGCCCCATAAGGAAACAATTAAAATACTATTACACTTTCAACTGCAGTCATGCTTAAAGTTGACTCCTTTTCAAAGTCAGATATGTGTTAAGATAAATATTCACCGTTCCTGATGAATTGCAAGCACAGTATAAAAATCTCATTTTGAATCCCTATTGTCATCTGAATTCTTTCGAAATGAGTAAGGCCACAAATTAAAATGTTCATTATTGGGAACATAACTTACCAGTTTAGAACATTTAAGGGTGCTGGAGTATAAATACTCAAATAATCAGTGGCATCAACCTCTGCCATTCTACAGTTCAGAAAGTTAATTTTTAGAAATTCTTTTCAAAAAAATCCATCAATTACTTTTTTTGAATAGAAGTGAATTTTAACAGAACAGCTAATGCTACAAGATTTCTGAGAGCATTTAAAGAAAAACATTTAAGAAAATATTTCCCGCATTTTATAATATGCCAGGACACCAAATAAGTAGAACATGTGTAAATTATATCCATTAGAACTATTATATATGAACAGTATAGATCATACTTCATTGAATGCACTCATACTCAGTTCAGATTAAAGCAATTTTACAATACTGGTTCATTCAAACTATGATGAAAAGTGTCTGAACACAAAATGAAATGATACGTTATAAAACACATTAAGTGAAATTTGTATGTGACAATGTTATATATTCTTTATATTAAATAGCATTAATTTCACAATTCCCATTAGAAAAAGTCCAAGAAATGATTGAATGATCTCAACAAAAAGTTGACACTAGCCATGACTTCACTTACTTTTTCTTTGCACAGAAACCCAGAAGTACTGTATTGATGAGACATTTCCTGTGCTCTGTCTTAAATTGAATATCTGCTACCTAACTTCAATTAGAAACAGCTTGTTTAAACAACTTATTACAGTTTACAGTGTAACTTTTGTTATTTTAGGATAAACTTCGATTTTTGTTTAATTTAATTTTGAAAAATAATCAAATTTAATAAAAATGAATTTTACAGATTTGAAATGTTTTAAATATTGATTTTTTTAGAATGCACTCTTTATGAAGTCCAGATTTTAAGTTATTAATGCAGTGTTCCAGAGATGGCATTTTTCTTTCAAAAAAATATCAAGTTATCAAACTACAATTTCTGATCTATGTCAATTCTAAGTATAAGTGACCCAGAGAATATTGTACTTATTTAAAAAAACAGAAGTGAACTATCTACCAATAACAATAATACAAAAACGTGTGATTCCAGTTTGGAATAGGGGTTCTCAAGGTTTAATTAGCTCTGCACTATATCCCAGTATTGAACCTTGTTGTTTATACTTCACGGCCACACTGTGGCACAATTGTAGCAGTTTAGGAGCTATTAAACCAAAATGATTTCAATGCAAGTTTTGCTTCCCCAGGAACATGTTACATGATAGGTAGCATGTCTATCTCAGCATAACCATTCCAAAATGTTCTCCCAAAAAGGAAATACACAATCTTTGGCATAATATTTGCAATAATCTTAAATAATAAAGAGTTTGAAATATGGTGACATGTACAGTGTTAGGAATCAGCCAAGTAGCTACACTGCCCAACTACATGGTATGCCAATCCAGGTCCACCCACCGCAAGCATAGATTATTTCTGTGTAATGACTTTCAGCAATGTAAGAAAATTTTAGGGTTTGAGGAAGATCAACTTTGTAACAAAAAATGGTGTACAGAGCTTGCATTCATATACCTGCTTTTAAGAAAGCTAAAACTCATACTTCATATTAAGTTATAATTGCCCATCAGTCATAAGCTTACACTTTGATCACCAGTACTAAAGGAAGACTTAAATTAATTTTTGTTTCATTTGTGAGCACAAGTTGAAGGAGTAGCACAAGGTAAAAAAGTGAAAGCTTTTTCCCAGGCCACCAATGCCAATCATAATTTTTCAAACAGGATGAATAACTACAATTCAATCTCAAGCCACCCATAGAGGTAAACTGGTAATTCTATACCCGATTTTGACTTCTGTAGAAGTGAAAAATATTTGCAAATTTTCTGAGTCCAATAGAAATGTCCACACAAGATGAATATACCAATCCTAATTGTTAATTAATAAGCAAAAAATTGTTAGTATATGCTCTAGATTAGAGCAATTATGTTAACAATAAAATAGTACTATTTTTCTGGTTTGCGTCACACACCCCACACTCTAATTCTAGAGCGTTTTGTTCTTTTGGGCCATTCTTTGATACTGTACCAAGATGAATGGGACCTGCAAACTTGTTGGTTTACTGATACCATGGAGTCTTCCGTACCCAACGGAGGGTGAATCCTGCATCTGTTCTGATCTTGATAGAAGCAGCCTCTGCTTCTCGTACAGTTTCTTTGACTGACTGCATCAGATTCTGGGCATTGTGAACCAACATTTCGGTAGCCTGATAAGAACAACAATAATAATTCTTACATGTGACATAGCGCCTTGTTGAAACATCTCAAAGCTCTTCACAGGACATACTGTAAAGTGGATTGACTGTATTTTGTGAGCGAAACCCGACACCCAGTTTCTCACAACAATGTCCCATAAGCAGCCATGGAGTGAGTGACCAATTTAATTCAGGGGATTGTTTGCCAGGATACCGGGAGAAACTCCCTTCTCCTTTTGAACAGTGCTATTGGATCGTTAACATCAACTTGAACAGGCAGATGGGACCTCAGTTGAAGGTCTTATCCGAAAGACAGCACCTCAAATGATGCAACACGCCACTAGCAGTACATTGGAGTATCAGTTGAGACAATGTCAATCCAAGTCCCGACATGGGGCTTAAGTCCACAAACTTCTGACTCAGAGGTAAGAGTGCTACCACTATGCCTGGCTGACACACATGATCTACTCAACACAAGAGCAACACAAATTTTGGAAGTTTATATCTTCAATAGCCATTTTACCTGAAAATAATATGTTTGCTTCCATGGTTAATAAATATACCCAGTGTCAAATCTATCAAGGGACATGTGATTCTTTCACAAGTTGCCATCAAGTTTAAATTGATAGTAACTCACTTTTTGATAAACTGAAGGATCAACTCAACTGTGAGAATGGACAAACTGAACTACATTTTTAGTTTAACAGGCTCAATATATATTCATTACAATAAAAAAAATTGCATTTATATAGCACTTCACATGTGCAAAATATTTAATTTTGCATTAACAATGTTAAAAATGTTTTACATCTTACCTGTTCAGACTCCTCATCACTAATGTTTGTGCGACCCAGCATAGTGGCTTTGACAGTGGAGAGAATTTTAAGTTGTGTGCTGATGGTTGGGATACGTTCACACACCTGTGATTGGGGAGGGGGGGGGGCAAAAGGAAAATAAGCCCAACATAGAAAATCAATGATATTTGATACAATTTCACAGAAAAGCATGGATGTCAAATAAATGGCTTGAGGCTAAAGGTTGAACATAATAATAACAATAATAATACCCAAACCACCATCTCCACCTGCAGACTAGTTCATAATTACCTTCATTCCATTCTTAAACCCTCAATTCAATTGCTATACCTGCAGAAGATTTGTTCTGATGCGCTTATCTGTACACTGCTTGGCAACTTCCTTTGCCAGTCGTGTCACTTCATCCGATGCTTTCGCAATGTCCTTAGCACAATGGATAAGGGCACGTTTGGTTCCACTGCCACCACGCACCAATCGTGACATTTCTGCCATCAACAAGGCCATCCTCTTAGCAGCACCAATGATATCATTACCCTGGTGAATGAAATCATAAATGAGAATTTGCTATATTAATCCGATTTCATATCAAGAATTTAAAACAACCATACACATACACTGTACAAATGAACTTTCCATCTTAGGTGATTTGCCCAATTGGTTTCTCGATTATGCCCAGGATTTTACACTGAGTATTATTAGGATATTTAATCATCTGTCTCAATTTCTGCATATAGTGTATTTTTAAATGTCAGTAATATCATCCTTTGTTCAAAGTTTTAAAACTAGCTTACTTCCCCCTTAAACATTTTATGCAGCTAAATTTTAATGTTTTCAATAGAAAGATTAAAGTGTCCCAGACAGTATCAAACTATTAACCCTGGACTTCAACAAGCTCCAAATTCTATTTAATTTTGGAGGTACCAAATATAAGTTGTGCACCTGTGCATATGTCGTTCACTGATAAAAGATAATGGAACATTACTCTTAAGAAATTCCAAAGTTTTAAAACTTAAGTGGTCATAAATAACACAACTCAATTTATATAAATTCAAATAGTTCAAAGTAATTTCAGAACTATATCTGAAAACAGTGGCACTAAGCTACAAACTGGTCCATAAAAAGGTAGGATTGCAAAGATACCATACATCGCACTACTGGGATGCAAAAATACTAATTCCAAAGTATTAAAGACTTTTTAAAAATATTGACAGCACTATGTGCATGTACTTGAAGGTTAATGAAAGTTTAATAAGGCAAGCTAATTAATATGTGTTTTATTAGTTTTCCAATAATTGTTACAGTGATGAAATAAAAATGAATGAGGTAGGACTGAAAGTTATCAGGATACAATCAACATAAGAGTACAAGTTAGGATTGCAAAAGGCTATGTGGCCCACAAAATTTTACCTTTCTAGTATGTGTATTCATCACAGGATCTCATTTTCCTTTGAATAGCACCAATGGTTTTGCTTATAACTCCACTAAAGTCATTTATTTTGATATTTGTTCTACATTTCAGTTTATCCTCTATCCTGCTTTCTTAAATTTATCTCATCTACATCATTTAATTTTACTGGATTTCAATGAGATCAACTCGCCCACTCAAAAATGGTTGGTAATATTGACAACACAGAAAGTTTATTTTTTAGCCAATTTTCCTCCTTTGCCTCTCCTAAAGCATTTGGTTTCACGGGGAAATTTGCCCAAGTGGCCATTCCTGTGTTACTCTCAGCACACACAGAGTGTTGTCAGTGTATTCAGCTATGTAGAGCTACAAAGATGAGCCCAATTCTGTTCTCAACGCAATGTCCATACAAGTGTCAATTTTCCAGCAGGTGGCGCAGGATTGTGATCAGGAATCTTGGCTAATTCTTCCTCTTGCTAGCACACGATGATGCTAAAACTAATTTTAGTGTTGTCCTGACTGGAATGTATGGCTCCGTCTTACACTATTGGGACGAGCACAAACTTATTTTGTTCTCAAAGAATATGAATATATTTGACATCCACTGGATGAAACTAAATAATCTTGCTATTAGAAGACATGTTAGTGAAATTATTGCTATTGAAGGTTTGTGATAAAGAGAAATTGATATTCCCACCATAAAAATGCATTTTTTTAAATCTTCTGGAGCAAGAGTGTTGCAACTCCCAAACCACTTTACTGGTAAAAGTTTTAAAAATAAGGTAACAATAATCTTAAATATAAGGTAATTTAAAATATTATAATCAACCCATTACAAACTATCACGGAACAAAAATAGACATCAGAAACAAGCATTCAAACATGCACAACAAGAAGTGCAACAAGCACATATAATCTTTTCAAATGGCTCTTAAAACACAAATATATCTTCCAATTTTAAAAAAAGTATTTGATAACAATACACTCGGGTAAGTAAGTTGGTTAGCATTCAAGCAATATTTAAAAGCTGAACTTTATTTGATGGCATAAACAATAAAAGTGTTTTGTTAGTACTGCTGAGATATATAAAGGAAGAAGGTCTGTTATAATTTTGTCCACATTTGGACTAAAATGCTAGAGTTGGATTCTCCCTTTGCTACCTATTATTTCATAACATCAAACACATACGTAATTTGAATCGCTCTCTTGAATTATTTGAATTGATGTTCAGAAATTGTATAAAATTAAGCAGATTCAGCAACAAATTAAGAATTAATCAATTTGCTGCGGGGTAGGGAGCAGATGGAAATACAGCACTGAATTATCATGGGGAAAGAAATGTTTTATGCAAGAAAAAAAAGCCCATTCATAGCTACCGCGTCAGTTTCTTGTATTCCAGCTAGAAAAGAAACACTTGATTGTGAATTGAACCAATGGGTCTCTGGCTGACTGCCATTTGACCTAATGGGTACCCACTGCCTTCTCATTTAAATTTACATTTTAGTGTGATAAGCCAATAGCAGCTGGCTATAAATTGGCTCAAATACTTTCTCGAGGTGGGCCTTTTCCAACTAGAAAAGATAGAGTCTGCTTTGTTTGTACACAAAAGAGCTTTCCTCTCTTAGGAATTACTCTATATTTCTCAGTACAATATTTCTGGAGGGGAAGGGAACAGAAAATAGGATATAAATCATGAAAAGCATTTCAGAAGGCAGATTCTCTAACTGCAGTTAAAAGTATTTCCCACTTATTTAGGAACTACTTTTCAGCAGAACAAGCTTTATACAATAACAGGATTAAATTCCATTAATTTCAGTGCATTTATTATTCAGACTTTGGGTGACTTTGCCAGCAATTTCATTTCATGTGATAAATATGCCAATTTCTCGACTTCTGAGGGCTACTACACAAAAGAATAAGGGAAAGTACAATTAAATCAGTTTTGTGACCTCAGTGATAAAGTGGACTTTAATATCCACTCTGCCACATATAACCGTTTGAATAAAGATAAAGTGCAACTGAGTTTTCACTAGAACAGTATTATTTGGTACTGAAATTTCGTCCAAGTTAAAATCTTACACTTTACCACTAGATTCAAATTTAAAATTTCAGTAATATCACACTTTGTCCAAAGTTTTAAAACTATTTATTTGTGTAATAAATTTTTGTGAGAGTAATTTTGTGTTAAAATTTTGGAATGGGTGTTAATCTGATAATGTACCATTGTATTCTAGGTCTATTTTGAAGCTGCCCCAATATTAATATTGTAAAACACTGTTTTTCCACTCAGTTTCTCGCCATTCTTGAAGCCCTAAGGCTACAGAGCATTTCATATAACAAAAAGTAATTAATATTTTTCTGCAGACAATCTTCCTTTCACAATTACTGTTAGAGCAAGCCAGTCCTTTTGCTATCAGCAACAGTTATATTTTACCGGAGCCTTGGGTGGTTTTTTGGTGGGGGAGGGGAAAAGAGGTGTTAATGCAGCAGAGACAAATGAAATGACTTCATGAAATAGTTACAATAATTTGCAATCCGGAAGTCATCAAGAAACTGTAATCCATGGCTTCACAGGTGATGAAGACTCATCAGATTCAATGTCAACCATAGAGACCTTGGTACACTCAGTTTGCAAAATGCCTCCCAATTGGCAAAGTTACCTCTTAAATTGACTACTGACATTGATGAGGAACTTGTGAAGCCAATCTCAGTTCTGTCAAGAAGTGCAGACAAACCTTTTAACTAAAGGATCATGAATCCCAGCAAGGTCGACAGTGATGCAAATGGGTCAATGTTCTGAATGACTGGATGCACAGGCACCAATCGCAGGGGGAAAACTGACGAGTACCTTACTGGACCACTTTCTTGCTTCTCGATGCAAGGCCTGAGCAGCGGCCAGAATTGGCTGGTTAACAGGCTGATTTGTAGGCATTAAAAGAAGCTCAGGCTCGTACTCATCTTCATTGTCAGAGGGAAGAGTCAACTCAACATCATCGTCATCATCATCATCATCATCATCATACACATCTACATCAACAGCTTCATTAGCCTCATCTGTCACATCAGGCTTTAAATGGCAGTGAGTGCAGAGGAGGGGATAGAAAGACAGTGAGAGAGTTAGTGAGAAAGACAAGAGATGGATGGGAACTGAATTGATTTAGTAACCAGATATCTTCTTGATCTGTAGGGAAGGAAAACACAAAACACTAGCGGGTTCAGGGAAAATCAAGATGGGAATAACAGCTGATAATTTATATGAGACTGTAAACCAGGGCCCACATCTGCCAATGCAGGTAAACATTAAAGATCCTATAGCACAGATCAAAAACAGAAGGGAGTTTCTCTCAGTGACCTGGCCAACAATCCCCAACATAAAATTGGTCTTTCACTTAACAGATGTTGTGAGTCACTGTTGTGTACAAAATTAGCTCCTGTATTCCTGAAAAATACCTAGTCACTCTATCCTCTGAAGGTCTTTGGGATGTCCTCCCAATACGAAAGGTGCTATATCAAATGTAAGGATTATTCTTATTTTATTATATGATGGCTAAACTTACTGCTGGCTTGATAAATAGGAAGTGCAAGTAAGCAGCATCACCTTTCTGCACACTTACTGACTGGCCTTCACACATGATAGAACAGGAGGATACTGAACAGACCAAGCATAGGGATTGGCATTTTTGCATTGCCTAATAAGGTGCAGGCACTACATGGAGGAAACTAAAATTAAAAAGACGCTTGAGCAAAGAAATAATTGTGAGCTCCAAGAAAGTGGATAGTATACAGGAGAGGATGGATCACAGAAGGGATTACCACAGCTGATACCCATAACGGAACAGAAAGCAAAGATAATATAGGTTAGGGAGCATAAATGGTCAGAGGGAAATAGGAATTATGGGCGAATGTTATAACCAGAATGAAATTCAGTGTAATGTAATGGAAGGCATTAATTAAAATCTGGATGCAATTAAAATTATAGTCTATTAAACTAAAGATTATTGAGGAGTAAAAAGCCTCCACGTTGACGAATGAGAAAGGCAACTTTAGAGTTAGCATGAAGTGATGAAAATAAATTCAAGAAAGAACAGGAAAGCTTTAAGCAAGTTTTACCTAAAAATCTTATTTATCTGGACAGAGCTGAAAACATGCGAGTACCTTGCTTCTATACAGCTAGATATCAATTATACTAGTGCTCATAGGTGAGAATGGCACTCCAATGCAGATCTGGAACATTGCTGCATGGTCAACAATGCTGTCTTTGGATGGCATAAACTCAGGTCCTATCTGCGTGTTCTTTGATGTCTAACAGGCTGATTTTAAAAAAAATATTCCATGCATTATTCGAAATGAGAAAGGAGTTTCTCCTGATGTCCTGCCAGACAATATCCCAGATACAAATTTGATCATTCACTTCATGGTTATTTCTGGGACATTGCTTCCACATTCACTTACAAATATAGTCACTACTCTTTCCAGAAAAATCTGTGAAGCTTTCAGAGACCTATCAATATGATAAAATGCTATATTAAATCTAAGCTTATTACTCTAGTCAGTCATGTCACTTGAGCAAACGCTATCCAGGAATGTGAAATATCTGTTTTTCAAATGTAAAAAGATCCCATTTATGGAAAAAAAACTGAACAATCCATTCATTCAAAATGAAGAACCTATTTCTAACCACTTTCAGCTGGAGAAAATTGGTAGGTATAGCATGAGAAACTAATCTGAGAAAAAGTAATGTTACTTTAAGTCAAAGATCAATAATTTTAATATTAGTACTAAGCTGGTCATCCTGAGGACCAGGGGGAAAAGGGAGAAGGAAAACAGACAATTTCATCGCCTACCCCAATTAAATGCAAACTTCATCAGCACTGTTCAATTAGAATGCACTCTTCTCATATTGTGTCAAACTCAGTTTAACTTATGATTTTACAAAGTAACTCTCACATTTGTTTTTTTTTTAAAAATGTTACATGCAACTTAACATGGCACAATATTAGTTTACTTCCCCTACATTATCACTCACCTACACCCTACCCTAGGCACCGGATAAACAACATAATGTGCTGCAGCATAATGAGAATAAATAGTTAGCAGAATTATCCTTTTCTCCGACAATAACTTTAGTACAGATAGAATGCAAGCTTTCTGGAAAACTATAAAGAGGGTGTCATGCATTTTGAACTTTTTTTTTACTAAATTGTTTATCTTAATGTTTTGATAAAATCCTGCTCTTATTTATATCTTAGGATAGGTTTGGGTCAATGTTTTTGCATTTTCTGGAACAGAAAAATGCTTTCTCATACGCATCAAAAGAAATTCTAATTCTGAGAAGACCTTTTTATTGCTTTTCTTTCCCACTATTATAAGATTTACTTCAACATGGATAGTCGAACTTGGGCTGCAGGCTTTTCACAACCACTGGCAGTATCAATCTGATTGAATTGCAAGCCAAATAAGGGAACAAAACAACCAGGCAACTCCAAGAACTCTTTAGTACCATTCAAGAACCATTGTACATCGGGAGACCAGTACCCCGGGACATGCAATTTATCTTTTTATTTAGTGATCAGGACTTAATTATACTCAAAATATCTGGACTTTATGCATTTTGATTTTAAAAAATGGACCATTTTATACAAAAAGAATAATTGTGCACTTGATATTTGAACTCAGTATATACCCCTGCCTGACAAATACAGGCTATAATGTATTCACCCATCTTTGATTGATATCATAAAATCTTTCTGTGTGGAACCAAAATTTCAACTATCATCATCTAGAGGTAGGAGAGCAACAATCATGTAAAACCATTCTTCCTATGATAACATAAAATAAGTCAACTCTGGGGAATAAATAAAATCATCATTCAAATAGAAGACAATTTTGCCAAAACAGGAAATACTTCAGATAACATCTCCACATGAGTGTTTTGAATGAACAATGATGGTGTAGCAAGAAACTAAAATGAAAACATAGAAGGTAATTCACATTCAACACACTACAACAGCTAAAAAGGTTAAACCTCTCAAGCCTTAGAACACGCTTCATATTTTGCCCGACAACAACAAATTATATTTGTCTAGCGCCTTTCATGTCACGAGGACGTCCCAAGGTGCTGACCATTTACAACCATTTAAACCCTTACCTTGCTGGACCATTTCCTGGCTTCCTCGTGCAACTGCCTAGCAGCCACCATCATCGGCTGATTCACTATCTCGCCTGCTTTCTCTTCAGGGAATTCCTCATCTTTTTCCTCAGGGGGTGGTGGCCGTGGTGGAGGAACCTCACCCAGTGGAAGTGGTGGTTTGGGAGGGGCAGCCTCATCGTTCACCTGCCAAAAAAATACTATGTTCAAGCCGACATATTTTAAATTTATAAATCAAAAGGCTTTACTATAATTGAAATTATCAACTCAGGGCAGGCCTGCCCATAGTTACCAGCTACCCAGTCAATGCTTCCAGAAAGACCTTTATTTGCAGAAAACTTATTTTGCCATGTTTATCCTAACTACTGTTTCAAACACTCATTTTTAGTTCCTGTATTATAAAAGTGACTTTCTAAAAGAAAATATTTTTAAATTGCCTTTGATATCTGTTATAAAATGTGCCCCAAACACAATACTGTAAACAGTTCTTTTAATAGGAATGCAAAGGATATTTCCAACTGTAACTATCCAGATGATTTATTTCTGTGAATTCTACAGATAATTGAAGTCCTTTGTTGAACTACAGATGTTTTCTCAAAAGTTCTGGTAAAACTTAACAATAACTTTTTGTTAACTATTTATAGCAACGTTTCTTAAAACAGACTAAAACAAATGTCAATTGTCTGTTGCTACGTGAAAATATTAAATCATGACATACACTGAGTTGTTCCAGATCAGGAGGTGGAGGAGGGAAGTCTGGCTCCTGAGGCTGGAAAGCTTCTCGAACCTTTGCCACAGCACTTAATATTCGGTATCCTGAGTCCAGGAAGCCTTTCTGCAGACCTACACGGTGTCACAGGTAAGAGAACAATATAAAATAAGCAATACCAGAAATGAAGCCTACGTTTTGAAATAATGCACAATTCCAAAGGAAAGGATTTAATCGATACTTAAAGACTATCAAATTATCACATTCTGCCATTTATGTTGATCAACACTATCGTCTTTTAAAGGTGACGATGGAATCACACTTAAGGATGGTAAAACATTTTCAACAACACGAGGGCACATAAATATTCCTGATCTCTGATAACGGTACAAACTCTGACATGCTTTTTCATTGTCCCATCCCAATCATTTTGATTACTTGTTAAAAAAAATTGATTTTAGGAGTGAATTGCTGGATTTTGTTAGCTAACTCATGAAACATAAAAACAGAATGCAAACAAAAATTTCTATCTGAAGTTAACAAAACTATATCAAAACACCAAATACAGGGCATTGCTGTTACAGAGCAAACAGGATGTTAATTCTTTAAATTGTTCTATGCACCTCAAGAACAAATGTTTAATGCCACTAATCCAGTGTACCACTTAACATCTTTAAATTACATAAAATTGAACCTTATCTGCAATGTCAGAGGTAATGAACTTAAATCTGTTGCTCTTGATTTTATTCAGTAATGCAGCCAGATAATCCCAAATCACCAATTTAATAATATAAAACAAATATAAAATTAACTATTTATGCCAATGTGTTTTACCAGGATCTGAAATATTTCCAGCGACAGCTTTAGCATCCATGACCATAGGTGAGATTGTTTTGCTGAGTTCATCTGATGCTGCCTTCACTGATTCACGGAACTTGGGGTCTTCAGAGTTCTCGACCTCCTTCTTGGCAACCAGCAGGATCCTGTTTGCACGACGTGCAATGCTAGTTGCCCCAGCAACCAGCATTTGAGGTTGCACATTGGCCATGGCTACTTTGCACTTGTCAATATCTTTCTTAATGGCTTCCTCAGAGGCGTCCAACAGAGACCTTGTATCAATAGCTTCATCCACTAAACCTAAACAGCACAGAAATGAATTATTATTTCATAATACTGATGTGTCAATTCAAATCAATGGATACATTGAAGTCACTACAATGAATGCTTTAAATAGGCCTAATGTTCAACTTCATTAAAGTAATTTCAGTGACAGCACCCAAATGTCAATCTTACTCCAATCAGGCAAATAGTCAAAACTGGAAACACTGCAGTGTAATGCACCATTGCGTCTTGTCACAGAATGGTGGACTGAGAGCTCAGAGTTACAATCTCCATAGTGCTTGGGAACAAGGAGAAACCATCAGCAAATTTCCATGAAAAGGCAAGTACTTCAATCTCAAAAGAGAGTTCAAATCACCCCCCAGAATGGGGAAAGGTACGATTAATATGTGAAAAGAAACAAAAATAATAACTGATGTAATATCTGTCAATTATAAGGCATTCTGTTGATCTCACATGTATTACTTCCCATCTCTATTTTTGTCAAGGCTGAACACAATCTGTGCTTAAGCTTTCTGCACATAGTGCAATCAAAAGTAGTTGAAATTAACACTCAATGATCTCAACACCTATTTTCAGCTGAAGGCCTCGATGTGTACCTATGTCAAACCTGTTTGACATTTGAAATAGAAAGTGTATTTTTACACCAATCCAGAGACATTCAGCATCAAAGAGATTAAACAGCCGAATTCAATAGGGTTTTCTTTCCCACAAATATTTCAGTAACTGGTGGATAGTTTGGAGATGCTTTTGCTTACCTGTCATTTTTTCAACATTATCAATCCATTGGTTCTTCATCGTCTCAAAATGTTCATGAGCAGCTTGGTTACCGGGATTACTCAGCAAAATCCGAGCGGCTGAAACAACCTACACAATTAAATCACCCACAGTTACAAAATGTATATTTTACTGGTCTTCAAACCGAACGTATTCCACTAAATTGCATAAAAGATATTGTCAAGATTCCAAATTTGAAGACTGTAGAAGCTTGAGTGGATCTTACAGTACTTTACCTTTTCCCAGTTTAATTTATGTAAGGTGTGTATTTTGCGTTTGTACTAGCTGGAAAACATGAATAGTGGTGGAAGAATTAAAAGTTTAAAATGAACAACAAGCATCTCCAACAATCCAGTGGGTAAAGGCAGTGCCACCACAGTCAGCACTAAACAAAAAAAGACTAAGTAGAGCCCAGTTTATGCTAAACTAGTTCATCTCAGCTGGGTAGGTGATGAGGGGGCCTTCAAATAGTCTCAGCATCTTAGGTGAGAGTGAAGAAAAGTTAATCAGGATTCCCGCTCCCAATTGCTATTCAGTGACTCATTCCAAGATGATGTTAACATGAGGTCATCATCTCTAATGCCGCTAGCAGTCGAACAGCCTGGGGCTTTTGTGAGGTCCTGGAAAGCACGCAGCTCCCAAGAAAGAAAGTAGGAGTCAAATGCTTTCATGAGAGGCAGAATGTTTAAAAATAAAAAAGGCATTGAGTTTCAAAACATATATGATTTTATTTAAGTGACTTGATAATTTGTCATTTGTCATGCCAATTATTCTGTAGGATGGATATTATTGAAAAAAGTTCTCTCAGTTCACAGACTAATATTTTCTAGAATCAATGAGATATAGTTGGTCAAAGTCATGAGTTTGCAGCACTCCTTGCAGCACTGTTGCTAAAATAATCGTGTAATAGGAAATGTAACAGGGTATCCTTTACAGGATACAATCTTCAACAGTGTTGATTAAACATGCATTTAAACATCTATCTACCTGTGGCGTTAGCTCTCTAGCTGACTTCACAGCTGTCTGTATACATTCCACTGTACTTTTATTGGCAGCTCCAACAGCAGCCGCTTTCTCTGCTGTAGCTCCAAGTTTAGCAGCATGGTTCTCAAAATGAGCTGCCCTTTCCACAAACACCTGGAAGAACAGCATGCAGAAAGTTAACTACAGGTACAAGCAAACATTGATTACCCCATTAATCAGATATTAACACAAGTCTAGTTTTTTTCTAGTTCCGTTCCTCATTAAAGTTTGATAATGTCCATATGTATTTTTATTTAAGGGTAAGATACAATCTTTGCCCCCCACAACATTTTCCTGTTTTCTTCAAACTATGCCCAAGAGTGTGGATTGGTAACCAAGGTCTTCAAAAATGCAGGGAACAAAGTATGTCAAAAATGGTTATTTTTTTCCCCTCTCTCAAGTCCCGCCTGAAAACTTTCCTCTTTGACTGTGCTTATGGCCACGTCCCCACTCCCCCTGGCTTGTTAAGCGCTCTGAGACGCTACCCAGCGTGGAGGGGGCTATGTAAGTGCAAGTTGTTATTGTTATCTTGCCCATGTGAAAGATGCCTCCCATCGTGACATGGCTGGAACTGGAAACTCAGTCAGGTGCAGGATTGTGGGTGGAAAACAACATCCCACTGGTTGTCTTCATGTATAATAATTTGTCACTTTTCATAGAACAAGTTCAGGTAATCAGTTGAGATTATGCACAAAAGTATTTAACTTAACCATCTAAATATTTTATCAGAAAAAGCAAACTCAAATATAGTTTTTAAATTACCTAATAGTAGTTCTTTTCGTAATAAGCCAGAGTTTGAAATTATCTGCTCTTCTTGGGCTCTTTATTTTAACTTTGAACAATAAAGGCTAAACATTAGGTATTGCATATTCAAGGTCTTCTGACACACCTGAAACCTGATTAGTCATTGCCTTTTGAATAAATATGAAGATGTTTATGAATTAGAAACTCAATACTCTTACTCACCTCTTCCCTATTGGGTGCATCTGGAGGAGCAGTAGCTGCTACTGCAAGCAATTTGATGGGAGTTGTAGTGTCACTGAAAACATCTGATACTTCCTGGGTCATAACCTCTTGCATTTTGCCTTTCAGATCCTGAAGGGAGAGTAAAATTGAGAACAGCATTTCTACTTTATGTTCGAAAAATGAAATGAGAACAGATGGTACAGTGGCAATTGTATGGTCAACATAGTTGAGGTTAGTAGGATTTAGGTTTATTGTGCAATTCCTCACACCATAATTGTTCACCTCAGTGAATTGTTAACCTGGAAGATAGCTAACAGATGCAAGGCTGACCCACGCAGAACAGAGGGGGAAAATCAAAACTGCAGTGTGCTTCCAAGAAGCCAGATACAGACCAGGATTGACACAGTTGAGAATTGGGTTACCTATGCATTTTATCAGCTGAAAAATTCAAACTTTCTCAAATAACCACTTGTTGAAACATTATAGGAGTATATAAAAGGGATACATTGGTGTAATACTTAAGCCCTTGCACTGTTCATCTCTGAAATTCCTCTCAAGGTGAGTTTCCCTTTGTGCTAGTGTTGTTATTGCAAGCTGTCAAGAGAAAGCCAGGTATTGCTCTGAATAAAAGAGGCAGAAAAATCTTTGGAAATTGTGAAAGCAATTTCAAAACTTTCTTCCCATTCAGCCAAATACTTTTTGTGGAAACAAAACCATTTATAATCCTCTCTCAAATAAGTTTCCCTATTTACTTTATTAAACCGAATTGGCTGTAAAGGCCAAGGACAATTGGTTCAGCTACAAATAAAATATATGATTTACTCTTCAGATGCAACAGAATTCTCAATTAAACTGGCAATGTTAATTGAGGGAAAAATTAGTAATATTAGTTACAACTAAGATATTACTTCACCTAAGTGCACAATATATATTTCAAGGGAGTGGGGATGAAGAATGTATGTAAATTGAAAAATGTATCCACATGAAACATTTACTTATCAATGAAACAAATCAAAATGTTTCCACACAAACCTTAATAAAAACATCATAGTTGGGCATTGTTGCGATCCACAGCATTAAAAATGTCACAGGTCACAAAGATAAATGCTACTTAGATTATTTCAGAAGAAATCATGAGAATTATGGAGCAGTTGTCAATGAGCTGAACTGCTTCAACGACACCCACAAATAGAGGTTAGTAAATCCGAATGGCCAAGTCACATTCCTAGCTCTCCCACCTTCAATGCATCCTGTAGTTGTGCAGCAACTGCTCTGGCCTGAGGGCCGTCTCCTTCACCCCGAACCGCCAGCTCTGCAAGTTGTCCAGCGAGCTGTTCCACTCGGTCACACTTTCCACTCAATTCCTGGCGGTAAGGTCCCATCATAGCATTCGCCAGCCGACGACCTTCTGCCACAAGCCCTCGGATGGCTGCTTGACCTAAAATTAAGATACAAATATTCAACATTTCTGAATGAAGCAGGGCATACAGCCAGATTGAAATGGGCAAAATAGGAATGAGTAAAGAGTTCCAATATCTGCAGTGCCCAACTATCTAGCAAAACATAACAACAACAAAATTACATTTGTAAAGCGTCTTTTACTTCGGGAGGATGTCCCAAGGTGCTGGACAGACAGAGTTTCGGACTCGAGCTGAGGGTCGGGGTGGGTGGAGCAGGGAGATTGAAAGCACGGTCGAAGAGGAGGATTTTGACATGGGTCTTGAAGGTGGCAAGGGAGGGGGTGAGGCGGAGGGACTGCAGGATGGGGTTCCAGAGGGTAGGGGCAGAGTGGCGAAAGGCCCATCCGCCAATAATGGGGCGAGCGAAGTGGGGGATGTGAAGCAGGCCGGAGCCCCCGAGTGGAGGGAGCGAGCAGGATGGTAGGGGGTTAGGAGGTCACAGAGGTAGGGTAGAGCAAGACCGTGGAGGGCTTTGAAAGTGAGGACCAGGATTTTGAACTATATCCTCTGTGTGATGGGAAGCCAGTGGAGTTGGACAAGGATGGGGGTGATAGGGTCGCAGAGCCTAGTGTGGGAGAGGACACAGACTGCTGAGTTCTGGATGATCTGAAGCCTATGGGGAGGGTGGGTGGGGGGGGGGGGGGGGGAGTACAAGGCAATCCACAATAATAATTGATGAGAGGGAACACTTAAAGGAACAGGTCCCTCCAGATTGGAAGAAAACAAAACTGAAATATACTATTATCCTGAGCTATACAAAACTGAGTTATACTGAAAGTATTCTCAACACTTTTGTTCTCCTTTAACACAAGTGGGATATTATTTGCATTATTTTCACTGCTTTCACAACAAATTTAGAATTGTAACATATGTAACTTTTGCAGTTAATTCTCATGTCATTAGAGTTGTTTCATCCACAATGTTTTAATTGCCATCCAAACCCCATTAAACAAAATGCACTGAGCATTTCATCAATCAAAAATAGTATAAACGCTGATCAAAGCATGGATTACATTTATTAAGATCACTTTTAGTCTTCATCTTACCTATTTATTGTTAAACATCCAAACTTTTTTTTAAAATACCAAAAGCCAATATGCTGAATACTTGATTTTTATACCAAAAGCCTTTCCAATCAGTGAAAAGTATTCCAGGTATTGGTATGCTTTCTGTTGTACAGTATAAACCAATTTTGGCAAGTACTTCTGCATGTCAATTCTCCTAGGTTAAGAGGCCCTTCCTTTTCAACCAATTCCTCTGTACTTACCCACACCACGGTCATCTACAGTAGGATTATCAATCCAGCGATGTGCTTGCTCAATTTTGCCCTCAAGATTTACTGCTGCCTTTACTGGTCTACTATTTGCCACGCCTCGATTTGTCTTGAACTGTAAATTCTGCAATGTGGTAGCAATTTGCTTCGCCAAAGCACGGGCTTCTGGAGTATCACCTTTACCCCTATAAAGCACATTAGTCAAAGTTTTCACTGAATGTTAAAACACGGATTTTAACAAAGTTAACGCAACTTCATGACTAAAAAAACCACTTGCTATGAAATAGATGGTTTTGTGAACAATTGTTTCTGTAAGTATTAAACAGGAGTGTATAAAACAAGAATTGATGGAAATTAAATTAATGTCTTTAAGAATCAGTTATTTCTATTTTAGAACATAAAAGTATAAACTAACGTGGACCAAATGGAACTGACTTCTCATGTGGAATGCATATCTGAAGGAAAACTGCATTTATACAAGTTACCATGTCATTGGAAAGGAATTCTACACAAATACACATCTTAGGTATTTAAGATGATAAGGGATTTGATAGGGTAGATACAGAAGCTATTTCTTCTGGTGGGGAATCCAAAACAAGGGGGCAATAGTCTTAAAATTAGAACCAGGCCATTTAAGAGTGAAATCGGAAGCATTTCTTCACTCAAAAGGATGGTAGAAATCTGGAATTCTCTCCCACAAAAAGGCCGTGGATGCTGGATCCATCCACACCTCAAAGAGCGAGGTTGATAAATTTTTGGCAGGTCTGGGTATTAAGGGATATGGGGAGAAAGCGGAACATTGGGATTGAAAGGATCAGTTGAGGTACAGATAAGCTATGATCTAATTAAATGGCAGAACAGGCTAGAAGGGCTGAATGGTCTCCTCCTGTTCCTATGTCTTTTTCCCTTTAACAGTGAATTGGAAGAAAAATCCCACTCTATGTACCCAAGTTACTTTGACCAGCCGCTTTAAGCAAAGAAATAAAAACAGACGAATCCAACAATAAGACCAATAAAGCCCACTTTCTCATATTAACACTATTATAGCATTTCAAATCAATAGTTCTCTTTAAAATTATAAGTGGCATTTACAACCTTTTCCTCAATCTCCTAAAAAAAACGTTTTTTTGCCTTAGCTATTATTTATCTAATAATAATCCTTGCATTTGATATAGAGCCTTATCACATCGTCGTGAAGTCTCAAAGAGCTTCATCGGATATACTGTAAAGTGGATTGACTTATTTTGTGGGCGAAATTAATACTGGCTCTATTTAAAAGATTTCTATTCAAAGTTCCATGTTGCTTACTTTAGGTTTGTGACAAACAAAAATCTGCCAGAGGTAAGAGTAACTTTTTTTTATCATATCCACAATTATCAGAATGAGTTTGTCCTTTCATTTTATAGATACATACTGTCTTCTCAAATCAGACAGCTTGGCTGTGAGAGCTCCTATTTCATTAATAGAGCGTAGAATGTCATCCCGTTCTTTGGGGTCCTCACAGAGATCTGCAATTTTCCTAGCTTCAGTTAAAATGCCACGAATCTGTTCTTCTCCCTCAGGGCCTGAATGAGGGTCTGCCAACCAGCTCTGAACAGAAATAAGACAGTTTGTCAAACCAAACAGTACAATAAAAGTGAATCAAAAATTGCATTTGTTTTCTCAGCTCTGTTTACGTGGTCCCAACCTTGCTGTGGCACTCGACTTCAACTTTCCATTCACATAATGACCTCTATTCTCAGCATTGTACAATACCTCAGGTAGTGCAATTTTTGTATCAAGGATTTTGCAAAACATCAATGATTAACACTTTGTACACATCAAAATTACAAATAGCCCTATTTCCAATCTGATCAATACAAAATGAATTAAAAGGTTGCATGCTAGAAATCATCCTATAAAACCATCCACTCTCTTCTACTTACGCTTTCATTATTCTCCATTAGGTCATACACTTATGGATCTGAGAGACCAAGTTGACAGCTAGGTCCATGTAACAATAATTGATAACACAAAAGGTGAGACCACTTATAGCTCTAAGAATCCCCATCTTTTTAAACTAGACCATCTCTGAAAATCAGCAAGATACCTGAGCAGCATCAATTTTCTTAGCAATGGCTTGCTTTGAATTGGTCATAGCTTCCAGCTTTCGAGCTGCCTTTTCCACCTTTGCTGTCAACATGTCCAGACCATGGGAGACTTGCTGTGCTTTCTGCATGGCAACAGGTGTTGCACCTTGACCTCTGTTCATTCCAAAATAAAAGACGATGTCACAAGCATTATCTCGCACAAATATATACAACAAACCTCATTTGCAGCCAAAATCAATGTTACTAATTGATCATTGTATTATTGCTTTCAATCATGATCTGTTAGAACTCCTGCTTTAAGTCATTACATAAAACTATCAAGTCACAGTTTATGATTAATTATATCTTGATGCTTCCTGATCACTGCACCACTTTACGGTGCATGCATATTTCAAGTACACAATGTTTAGTTCCTTTCCCCCTGGCCCCACACCAACAATAGGTCAGTATTACCTGGCTCGGAGGTCAGACACTTGATCAGTCATTTGGCCCAAAGTTTTAGCAGTTCCAAGTATTTCCCTACGTTCTTTGCCTGCACAAAGCTCTCCAACTTTGCCAGCTTCATCCAGTATCTGTTTGATGGCTTGCTCCCCAGCATCACCTGAAACACATTAGACAAGGTATATATCTGGCATCAATGTATACCACAGGACAACCCTATTGTTCTAAAAGCACCTTAGAGTGCCAATTTCACTTAGAATGCAGGTCTCCTGTGGAACTTGTGATCTTTTGATTTTGCAGTTTTATGGGCCTGAAACTGGGTCACTATATTTTATCATAAACAAATAGGTGCCTTCCAGTTCACTCCACTTATGAAGCAGTATCGTAGTTCAAATCCCAATACACAAAAAAATTAACATTTGTTTCCCACAGTTATGGTAATGTAATTAATAATTCAGATATTCATTACCAGGAAGGGCATTCGGATCCCTCAACCAGTTCTTGGCCTGGTTTATCTTGGAGTCAATCATAGCTAGGGCTCTTCTCATTGTTTCTGTATCCTGTAGAGTGGACACAAGATTTGACTGATGTATTAGGCAGAACAAAAAAACACTCCAGTCCACTTGTCTTTACTACTGTCATCAATATTAAATGTTTCTAAACAACTTGCATCAGTCACTACAATTCAAAATTACAAACTATTTTTTAAAAAAAAGGCAGAATCATGCAGAAAATAGAGCTTCTTGTTATGGAAACTATGTCTAATGTTGTGAAAAACATCAACTGCTGGTAAACTAAGCCTTGCAAAGCCATAGCAGTTACTAACCATAGTCAGTTCAAAGATTCTGGTTTATTATAGAGGTATACACACTATACTTACGTCACAAGATTCTGTGAAGGTTCCCGGTTAGCTCAAAATCATGCTTTGCTAACAGAAAAGGCAATATTGACCAACATTTATCACAACTTGATACGTTTCTGTAATTCCACTTCAGCCATAATGTTCAACACATTACACCATACCGTAATTCTCTTATTTGAACATCCACAAGACAACAGCCTGAATTGTTCTCAAACTTTTATGAAAAACTACTTTTCCGTGATCATTTTCGAAAACACAGCCATGATTCAGGATCTTCTAAACAGCAGTGCGAAGAAAGTCTCTGAAAGAAAGACTTGTCTTCAGCATGAAGATCTACTTTAAAATTCATCTCCACAATGCCTCAACCCCTTGCACCTGTACAAATGGAACTCTATGCCTCAGTTGAGGAGTGGAGGGACCATCTTCCACCTCTCTCAAACAAACCCAGAGAGCCAATCTCATTAGTAAAATGGTATTCTGTAAAATTAAAAACATTATCAAGCACATCTGAATGTGAGAAAACTCCTGGATTTCCTCTTACCTGCAGACTGATGGTGCATTCCCACTGTGGTGGTGGCAGGGAGACCCTCCTATCTCCTACCCCCTCCACCCTTTCGATGCTAGTCAACAAGCTTTTGAAAACGGTCCATTTAAGAGCTTTAAGTATTCACTAAAGCCGTATCAGGAGAAATTCTCCAGTTTCTGGCATATGCCAATGGCTTGTTGGTTGTCCAGCAACAATCCCTAAGAAACTTGGTTATCTCCTGACAACTGAACACACTCTCACTAATATAGCAGACGCAAAGCCATGCAGCACAGCCAACAACTCACCAAACACTGTTACAACAGGCAGCCGCATATCCCAACACTACAAATGGTCACTAAGCCTGTCTACAAGGCACACACTGCCACAAACTAACACGCACATTGTATCATGTATCCTGGATAACGTGAGAACATTGCATGAATGTTTGAGAACATGCTCTGAGAATTCCAATACAAAATGTTTTTAAAAATTAATTTCCAGATAACTGAGTTTACATTAAAAAATATACCAGTTCAATAAACTGTCGCCATACACTGAACATTCACTGCAAGTGCAAACGTGCCACCACAATTGCCTTCCCTGTGCAAAAATGATTGGCAATGATCACACAAAACAAATATTGAAAGGCGCTACACAAATGCAAAAAAAAAAACAATATTCCAGATCATTTGGGGTCTCTTCTCTGAAACCATTCCAAAATGAAACTGAAATGAAAATGGGCCAAAATGAGCTATAGGAACAGGATGAACCCACTTATTTGCAATAACTTTTCACATAAGGGGACAATCTTTTACTGCCAGGAGATGGTCAACTTCAATTATGAAGATTACATTTTCAGTTTACAGATTCTGAGAACTGACAGATTTCTGTCACATGTAACAGCTTACTAACAAGATAGTTATAAAACTATCTTGGCAAACACAGGAACAAATATTTCCACTGCCTTTGGTGTAGATATACTGTATCAAGAGTTAATTATATCATTGGTAACTATGACCTAAAGCCATATAAGTATAAAACAGATTTAGTTAGCATTGTGCGTGAACTAAAGGCAACATTAAAACATAGTACAGAAAACATCTCATTGGTATTATGTCTTGAAGAGCAAAGAATCCCACTACCACATTATCTTCAAAGAAGTAGCACAAAAATTGTGCAAAGCGAGCATAATTCTAACCTGCTCATTCTGTATGATGCTTTCTACTTCTACAAATTACAACTGCAAACATTTCATTCACTGCATCAAATTGTAAAAATATTCAGGTTTCTCCATGTCATGTTTTAGAGAGTTTGAAGGAATGCAGACTAAGTATTTCAAATGTGCCAAGGCTCTGAATCCAATTTATGTTCAGACAGAAAAATCATAATAAACACATTGCCTTTCTATTTCCAAATAATACATGTTACGTCTGCATCTCTGATATGCATAATTACATTTGACAAAAGAATGAATCTGCAAGTTATGAAATCTCAATTGTTGGATTTGAAGGGTTGGGGATGTAAAGTACAGAAGGCTTCAGAGTTAAAGAATCTCCAGCAGCATAATTAAATTTGGCAAACTCTAACCCCCAGTGAATCAGTATGCAGCACAAGGCTGTGAATTTAGTTGTGCCAGGTCTACAGCTAAATCTGAAAGTAGAGGGAATGCTGCTTCACATACCCAAGACAGAACATACTAAATGGCACATTGGCAAAGGAAATGTTCCACATACCAGGGTCAGTCAGCTTCCCCCCAGGAGTTTTGAACAGAGCATATGTGAGTTTGGAATAGATTTTTAATATGATGTTTCACTCTGTTAAATAAGCAATTCGACACCTATAAGAGCAATTACCTTTCAATTAATGACTGTACATAGACCTCTTTCCCACAATGAATGTTTCCCTCTCGTGTCAGAAACCATTTTGAAGACTGCAGTTTGGATAGTGATGGTAATCCAACTGATGGTGTGCAACAAAAGATTGCAAAAGTCTATATTTTCCTCCTCTGGATTTGCCACATGTGCCATCACTGAGGGCTGGCAAGCGATGTGTTAGGGGAATGGCAAAATGGGACATTTATGCAAATCCCTTGAATGTACAAAACCCTATTGGATATTTGACCAAAAAAAAATTGTAAACAATATAGCCTGCAGCTCAACGGTTGTATTCAATCCAGCCTGCAGCTAAAACATATGTCATGAATGGATGAAAGTAGGTAGACATTCTGCCAAACTTCTTCAAGTTAATTTCCTGCCCTACTTGATATGGGCTTCACCAGGATGGGTAACATTGTGTTCTTAAGTGTCTGTATGTACATAACATGTAAGCAACCAAATATTATCAGTTCCCATTGAGCTGGAAGGGCCACCAGCAGAATTGGGAGTGAATGGTATACATGGTACAAACTGAACTCCTATTGTCAGTATTTTGACTTGTGCATATCATACACACACACACACACAAATTACTACTGATAACTCCTTGCTAATATTCTCCAATTTAATTAATTAAAGGATTTCAATTCCAGAAATCAGTTCATGTTACAACAGTAAGCATGTTAAAAAAAATCAGATCTTCCAACAAATGTTTCGAATTTGCCAAACTGGTCACCCACATCAATGCAATACATAACCCAAAGCAGTCCTCTTGGCAGTTAGGTCTGGATATTTGCTTATGTCATTTGCCACAAAAGGAAATGTTGCTCACTCTTACGGGCCAAGCACATTTCAGCAGAATCCTATCCCAATGATTAAGCATTCCAGCCTGTAGTATTTCCTTTTTTCAAACATGACCTTCTTTGGTCAAGCATGCAAAATATTCTGATGAATGCTGGCCCGTTCATCACAACCAAACTTGTGCTTTGATATATCAGTAATGCTCATCGGAAAAGCATCTTTCTAACCAAAACATTCCATGCGTTAAATCAATGAAATCGGCATCTTTTCCAAATATTGGGTAACATTGTTAATGTTGGCACTGGGTATATAGATTATTATCGGTTTACTAATTTTTTGCACAAGTTTCCAAAACAATTTTAAAAAGTAGGTTTAAGGAAAAAAGAAATCCCATTGGGTTGGTGTGACAGCAGTTTAAAGAGGCCTTAAACCTTCACTTGGCACTTTTGGCAATGAGAGTATAAATATTATGAACATAACATTCATGAAACAATCTGTCAGTTGCTTAAAGATATGTTTAGTGCTAAACTATTCCCCTCCACTCACCTGAGGGATTACATTCTTAATGATTTCTGTTTCCCGGAGAGTACATGAGACAGTGATGACTTAATAGTAAAACAATTGCATCAGTCACCGTCTTTAATATTGCTTTCACAGGTTTGTCTGCAGAGTCACATCTCCTGCTGCAGGTAACCCAAATTGAAAGCATCCAGGTTTCCCTGCACTCCACTTACCTGAACCCTTTTTGCAGTTGGATCTGCTACTGCCTGTCTCCAGAAAAAAAAGGCAGCACCGAAACAGCAGGATACAATAATGTGCACAAAATACAATGTCATCACACAAATGGTATGATGATGTCAGATGCACTTGCCAACCCTTTGGAGGTTTATTTTCCCTGATCACCACTACCAGAACATTGTTTTGGTTGCAGATGACAGAAAAATACTTCTAGAAAGTTTAGATGGATTGGTTTATTGATTAAATGTGTTCCCTTTAGTAGTGGACACTAAAGGAAAGCAGTGGACTCTCAAAACAAGATGCTGAATCAAACTTCTCACATGTACCCCCATTTTGGAAGGAGAGTTATGAAGTACAACTAAAGTCTTGTCATTTCAGTCAAGGTAGGCTGCTGTAGACATACCGTTCATTCCTTTGCTAAACAAGTGGATGCACTTTTATAGAGATCCGAGTTTTCCAATGCTAAAAATGTTACGTTTTCACAATAAGATTCTTAATTGATACATGAGCATTACTTTAATTTGTGAATTCTGATTCAAAACGGTGGTTTGAGACCACTGTTGTTTTACAGGCAAGTGTTGATGTAAGCAGGCTACAGGCTGCTGTGGAAGGGCCTAACATGGAAAGTTGGTACAATGTGGATTTTACTTTTGTAACTGAAACATGCTTTCTTTTCAGCTATTTAACTTTGTTGATTCTATAACCCCCAACTCATCCACATTGTCCATGGTGCTCAGAACAGTTTACGTCCCCTCAACTACTGCTGTAGTATTGTCCAGTAATCTAAACATAAACAAATTTGTTAATTGCCATCAACTCTTTCAAAGTTTGTTTACCAGAAGTTTGCTACTTAGAATTCTTGACAATTGACATCGAGGAAGATATAGATCATGAATATTTGTATAAGCCTACGGCAGTGGAAGAAACTTTTCGAATTTACATTATAACCTGCTCGGTTGTCAAACACTTGACAATGTCTGCAAAGCATTAAAAGGCATGTGCACGTTTAAAACACTAAACACACATGACCCAAGGCAAAATTTTATTTAAGAACAGTATTCAGCAGATGATAGCCACAATGTTATTTGAAGCAAACTGCACCACACACACACACACACACAAATAACCAAGGCTGTACACAGCACTCATTCAGAACATGCTTCAGGAGAAAAGCAGAGAGAAACAAAAGTGAGCTTACCTTCTATAAGGAAGAATGAATGAAGAAACAAGAAAGTAAAAAAATAAGATGTATATAATGATCCCAAAGAAGAAAAAGTACAAAGAAAATCTAGAAATATGTAACATTTTGAACTATAATAATACATTAAGTAGTTTAGAAAATACGTTTCAGAGAGAAGTGGTTTTGCTCCAACAAACATTGACACAGAAGGGATCACAATAAACTATCGTGCATCTGGCTTTTGGGTAATTTTAATTGGAGCAATTGAGTGATGTATGACAAAGAAGAATCAGATACCAGCCATTTTGAGTTTGAGTTAAATTAATTTTTCACTTGATAAGTGGCATTGATTCCAAGTTGAGTGAAATAAATGTACTTTTCAACACCATAAATTTAAAACAAATCCTAACATTAATATTGTAGTTTATAGGTTTGTTATCTACACTGTATTTTGAAGTTGAGATGGTGTAATTTATTCCTACGTTTTTTTTATTATTTATTATTTATTGTGATATGCTTCCTTTATAAATGATTGATCCAAGATTCAGAAACTAGCTATTGCCCGTAGTCTGACAAGAGAAGGAATAAAACTAAATGGAATGAAAAAAAATTCAAGTGATCAGAAGAAAGGGAAAGTGAAAACCTTAACTTGCAGAAAGATAGTAGGCAGTATCATTCTGTATACATAAGCAATTTCTTAAAGTATTGTATTTCTCCATTAACTCTTTTTTTCTGAATTAACTCCACCTACAGGAGATACACAAATAATCATTTACTTATATTCAACTTGCAGTGTGAAATTCTTGCAGTTAGTGTATTTACATTATCCACCCCCTCAATCTCAAGGCAGCTTCAAGTGACATGTCACAGGATGGAGCAAGGAACCTCTTGGATCACCTACCTTTAGTTTAATGGGGCTGCATACTTCAAAAACCTTAGGAACTAATCCTGTGAGTTGACAATATCAACTTACATTTATATAATAATAATCCCTCCAAAAACAAAACAATAATAAATTGGTCATTTTCAATCCATGACTGTTTGTGGGACATTGCTGTGCGCAATTGGCTGCCGCGTTTGCCCACAAATATAGAGTCAATTCACTTTACAGTATATTCTGTGAAGCCCTTTGGGACGTCTAGAAGACGTGAAAAGCACTATATCAAATGCAAGGATTATTATTATTATATAGCGTGCATTTAGAATAGGATGGTTGCCTGAAGCTCTTCATACAAATGGTGTCACCCAAGCTCCTGAGGGAGGGAGGTAGGGTAATGCGAAGGCTAAGCTACTGATGGTGGGACAGAAGGGGTAAAGAAAGACTGAACGTCCGAGTTAGCCAAGTGGCCAAGCTACCAAAACCTAGTATAAGCATAATATTGCTGCAGCATTCGCTTGTACTGTGCTTTAGTGGAGTCAAACAATGCCAGACAAATCTTAAGCATCTCCCATTAAGCTAGATAAAGCCGAGATTCCTCTGGAAAGTGTATGAGGTGGATGGTGAAAGCAGAATTAAGATTGGGCTTCATGTAAGCCCCTCCCCCCTTGTGGTTGAATTGTCTGTCAATGCTCATGGTCAAGAATTATATATAAATAATGGTTCCTTTGATGAGGTACCATGGAACCATATCCCAGTAGAAGGAAAATGGCCAAAGCTATCTGTCAGGAGAGAAAAGAAAAATTGGACAAGAAAAATTGTCAGTGAGAAAAAAAACTAAATAATGCTACACCAAACTGCACGCAGCTTCGCCCCATAACTTATAGAGGCATTCAGGTAACAAGCCAAGCGAGAGGATTCTTTGCGTTTGCTAAAATAATTATTGTTGATGTCTCCTTATAGAATCATAGAATATTACAGCACACAAGGAGGACATTCAGCCCATCGTGCCTGTGCTGGCTTTTTGGAAGAGCTACCCAATCAGTCCCACTCCCCTGCTCTTTCCCTGTAACCTTGCAAATTTTTCCTATCCAAGTACCTATCCAATTTCCTATTGAAAGGTATTATTGAATCTGTTTCCACCACCCTTTCAGGCAGCGCATTCCAGCCTGTAACAACTCTGTAAAAAAAAATCTCCTCATCACCCCTCTGGTTCTTTTGCTAATTATCTTTAATCTATATCCCCTGGGTACCGACCCACCCTCCAGAGGAAACAATTTCTCCCTATCTACTCTTTCAAAACCCCTCATAATTTTGATCACCTCAATCTCCTCTTAACCTTCCCTGCTCTCAGGAGAACAATCCCAATTATACAATCTTTCTAGAGGTAAGAATAATTGGTACTCTTTCAAAGCTTTTTTCTCCATTAATTTTTTTCCAATGCAGAAATGAATATAATAGCAGCTTACTTCATCATCATAATAAGTAAATGAGCAATTCAGCATTAAAACTCTTCCATCGTGCTGGGAACTTTACCTGTCCCAGTCTCAAGACATACCTTACTGGCCCATGCATCTTCATCCCAGGATGTGAGCTGCAACACACGAATAATCTCATTGATCTCAGTACTCATCTTTTCCACGGTGAAGTTGCGGTTTTTTAGAGCTTCTTCCACTCCTTTACCTTTGAATTGTTTTGTGGTCACAAAAATTTTAATAGCTGCAAAATATAGAATACAAAAGTGAATCTTTAAACTATTGTATGATATGCTGGATACTGAACCTATAAAGTTCTATCTATTTTACAATTATGCTGCATACCTATATGTAATTCACAACTGCAACAGTTACAGAGGACACAAAACAATGCACTAATTTAAAGTTTCATGTGAACACCCTTAACTAAAACACTGCACTATATCCTACCCTGAAGTTAATGGGATAGTCAGTTAGAATATTCTCTGCATACATTTTGTGCTTCCAATTGTGAATGCATCAGTTTTTATTGTCCTTATGGGATCGATAACTGGAAATAAAAAGCATTAAACAGCACGTTTAACTCTGAATCCTAGATGCAATTTCCGTATTCAAATGTCCCACCTTATACTTTCAGCAAAAGAAGCAAATTTACTTGAATTAATTTTTGAATTTGATAAGTTTGGGGGTGAAAAATCCTGAAAAACAAAATTTAATTCACAATAACCAAATAACATAATCAATTTGCATTTGATGATGAGGAAATGCAATGTATAGATAGTCCTCATTGTTTTAAATAGAGTCGATGGATGAAAAAGATTTATTTAATCCAGACTGATAAAATGTGTGGGTTACAAAGGACAGGGAAAGCGTGTTCTTCCACTACTCCTAATGAGTCAGCAAGGTTAATTCATAGACAGCACAGCCTATTTTCAAAATGGAAAAATTCAATTTCATTACCTGAAATGAGCACAGGAAGAAGCTCTTTAACTGTGTTCATGGAGTTTACCAACATAACCCTGTGCTCCTGGTGAGTCAGTTCCTGCTGTCTCTCATCAATCATCTTTGCCATTTTAGTCATCCCTAATTGAGAGAGGAAGCAAAAACTTAAAATATTTATCAAAGTAAATGATGTATAATTTGTTCAGAATTGATTTAATTGTTTAACTGGAGACTATAAATCAGGTAAAGTTTACCATATAGCGTTCATTACAATACAAAGAAACATCTACAACAGATTAGATTCCATACAATTAGATTCCATACAAATTAGATTCTGTCAATGACACTGAAATGCACCTTTATTATTCTCAATAGTTATTGTATGTTGATTTTGAGGAGTTTTAGCCAACAAATAGCAACCTATTTGGTTTGCTGCCAAACATTCTTGAAAAGATTCCCACTCCGTTCCTGGATTCCAACCTCCCTTCCCCCCATCCCTTTGCCCACTTTTTACAGTGATGCTCACTGGGAGATACGAAAAGGCACATACCCTCTCCTCCAAGATTTACCTCTTAAATACTAGGATACTTTATGATATGTCACTTTATGGGAACTTCAGGTTTCAACAAAGTGCAGTTACTAACCTGGACCCAGATTTTTGGTGTAAGTCACCAAATCTTCCATAGTTTCTACCACCTCGGCGACTGTGAGATACTCCAAGATCCCTTTGCAAACACGGATAATTTTGCGTACCTAGTAAAGTGTAGAAACATTTCCTCATTCTAAAAGCAAGCTTTAGGGCAATTAACTGGACATATGAATTGGTGGTTTGGCAAAAAGTATTGTATTTGAACAAAACGCATGTGTTATTCCTTTGTTCAGGAAGACTGAAAAGACTGAATAAATATTAAAATAAATTCCTACCTCTGCTTCATCAAATGTCAAAAGCAAATCTGAAGTTCCAGAGAGAATACCTCTTGATCCATCAATGAGGTAATCACGTGCAGGTACAGCATATGGATTATCTTTCAGCATCTGTGCAGCTTGGATAAGTTTTGCACAAGCATTCTCAACCCTGTGTATACCAAATAGTGGGTAAATTTAGCAAACTCAGAGAAAAACATGCATCTGATGAAATGCTTTCAGGAAAAATAGTTGCTGTAATAATAATGAGCTTATTCATCAAACACTAAACAGACTATTTCACAAGCACCAAAAGTTTAGAGTTGAAATGAATCATATTTGCTCAGTTCCCTGTTAAATAAAATAAATAACATGTAAAGCTAACTTGCAATTGGCCTTACAAATAATGTGCAAGGTCCTAAGCCATACTCCGTGGCCCCCGTCAACGTCTTCACTCCTGTGGATCTAAACTCCTCAACCTCCCTGAGCTCTCCCGCAGACTCACCAAACCAGTACACATTCTAGGCATCCGGTTCTGCCCCCAGCTCTCCTTCCTACCCCACATCGAGTCCCTGACCAGGACCGCCTTCTTCCACCTCTACCACATTGCCCACCTCCAACCATACCCCAAATGCAGCCGAAACCCTTGTGCATGCGTTTGTCACCTTCCGCTTGGATTACTCAAACACACTCCTCACCTGTCTCCCCAGCTCCACTATTCAAAAGATCCAGCTCATTCAGAACTCTGCTGCCCACATACTGACCGGGACCAAACTCTGTACCCACACCTCACCAGTTCTGGCCAGACTCCACATCACCAAAGCGATCGTCTTCAAGATCCTCACTCTCGTGTTCAAATCCCTTCACTCTCTGGCACCTCCCTAACTCCTCACTCCCCAATCCACTATCCATGTCTCCACTCAACTGGCAACAACCTCCTGCTCGTCCCTTGCACCCTCCGCCCCATCATTGGAGGTCACGCTTTCAGCCACTAGGCCCCAAAACTTTGGAACACTCTCCCTCAATACGCCCACCTTGCCCGTCTCCCCCTTTTTCAGTCCCGCCTGAAGACCTTCTTCTTCGACCACGCTTACGGCCATCAACCACCCCAGCTCAAAGTCAGGCTCCGCCACTGTTAAGCGCTCTGAGATGTTACCCTGCATGGAGGGCGCTATATAAGCGCAAGTGGTTGTTGTGGTTGTAAACCACGGACACACCCACAGAAACGTCGCACAAAAAAAATTAAAACTCCTTCAAACTAGGAGGGAAGAAGAGCAAATTAGAAATAAAAACACAATACGTCTGAAAGCTGATTGAACAAAGTGACAGTAATACTGGGTAGCAGATGCAGTTCAAGGGACTTTCCTTGGTTAACGTCATGTCATCTTTCCTTTTCACACAGTATACAAACCATAGATTGCAATTAACATAAAAATATTGACTAAGTAGAGGATAGCACCATTGATCACTTTGGTACAGAATACCAACTGTTACTTTAGCTTATCAAGGAATTATCACCCATACAGTTTAAACAAAATTCTTCTGCTAGTTATTCTGTGTCAGCATTTGGCATGGCAGAGGGAGACAACATTAGGAGAAACCACCATCAGGCTAAGATCAGATGTGTGCAACAGCTGAAAACTCCTTTCAGTGATATTAAAATACCGGTCAGTGTCATTTATCAGACTTTATTTGAACTTCTGGCACAATACCAGGAAGTTAGCACAGTTCCAGATATCTTTCTCTGTTCAGTGGTGCACAGTAATATGAAACTGACATCCATCATTATACTAGCGCCTCTTTGGCTGTGACATATGAATTCTGTTATCTATCATTTAAGCTTCAAGTAAATATAATTTATTGCTTTGTATAGATTGAAAAACTACAAACATTCAGGGTACCCCAGCTTAGTTGAGCACTGAACCTAGGATTAGAAAGTTCTGGGTTTACTTCTTCACTCAAAAAATGTATTAGGTTTTAAAAAAAAGTATTTCTTTGGGTGTGACTGACTCCAAGGAGGTCCACAGGAATCCAAGATGGTTCACCAGCCAGTCTGGCTCTTCAGTGATACTTGGAAGTCTAGATATGTTCTTTACTGTGTTAATCAAGCCCCAACAGATAGGATAGTGATAGCTGGACAAGTATTGTGATACTTAGCAACATCTTTTTTGGGACAGCTGAGTGTCCTCGAGCTGTTCCTCGAGCTTATGCTGTGGACAGCACCTCATTTATCTGCTAGGGATCTTACAGCCCTCTCGCCTCAATGTTGATTTCAACAATTTCAGAGCATAACAGCTCACCTTCCCCCTCCCCTGTGACCATTACCACATCATCTGGGTCCCAGACACACCTTTTCGCTCTCTGGTCTGCCTATTTTGCTGCAATTTCGCCCTCCACCCCTACCTCTTTGTTTTACAATATTAACACCTCTATTACTCTGTTTTGTTGCAACCCCCCCACCCTTGTTTTGCATCATTAACACCTCTTTAACCCATCATCCCCTGTCCTCTACCCCATTTGCTCCTTTGCCCTGCCTCTCTGTTAGCCTTTAAAAGCCTCTTCGTCTTCCTCTCAAGATGCCCCAGTTCTAACAAAGGTTCGTGGACCCGAAGTGTTCACTCACTTTCCTTTCTCCAGCCTGAGCTGCTGAGTGTTCCCAGCGACTTCTGTTTTTGCTTCAGATTTCCAGCATTTGCAGTATTTTGCATTTTGTTAACAGTAAGAATAATCCTTGCATTTGATATAATAAAATCCAGGATTTTAATGTGTGAAGTGTAGTGACTTTACACTGTATTTGTAGTCAAACACCATTTATCTGGAATGGAGTGTCCACTTCCTCTGCAGAAGGATGCACTCTGTTTACCTAACTGTTTAAAGTATTAGATGCAGGTTGGCAGGAGCACTGCTCTAGTTTAACCAACTAAAACTTCACAGCTTGCCACTGTCAGTTAAACATCCCGTTGCTTGTCTAGCTAGGACCACCCATCCATTAGACCTCCAGTTACTGTTTTGTTCTTCCAAATCCTGCCAATGACCTAATCAAGCCGGACTGTCATTAACCTTGGAGTACTGCAGATTCCCTGGGCTCAGGAACTGAACTAAAGAGACCCCCACAGAAGATGAACTCAGTTACAACATTCAGATGCCAAGCACATCACCTCACAACCAGCTCAGCTCCAAGAAGACCCTGCTTACCTCTCTCCTTCCCCAACCATCACCAGTCACAAGTTAGTCATTTAACATTTGCCAAACAAATACAAGATCTGTCAAACAATTCAACCTGATGATAGTGTTTGCAAAATATTTTAAATGACCTTTATTCATAAGAACCTACTCAATTGCATGGCTTATGCACACATACAAGAGAAACATTCTTTATTCTGATTGAATTCTTGAGGCATTTTCAGTGGTAGATAAGACCCTCGGTATAAGGGAACAGAATTCATGTCCTGTCATCAGCACGCAGATTAACTCAAAAACATTTGTCATTTCAGCTATATACAGCACATCAACTTCAGCCTTTCACGGTCCAATTCTGTCACACCACTCCATTTATCCTAGTATCCTCAACACCTACTAAACAAAATTTTACAGAGTCAACAAAAAACATACACACAAACATCTAAATCACAACTTTTAATGCTTTGATATTTAAAAAGGTGTTGATGATCAGGCTTCAAAACTGAAGATATATCAGGCACACTGAGTAACAAGAATTACGTGGTATGACCATTTTGACAACTCAACCTTCTGGCTCAATCTCAACTAAAAGTACCAATTTGTTCAACCCAGTTTTATGTATTGGGCACATCTCACCTTGCATTGTGATTTGGGTGGTGGTGGGGGGAGTAAAATGAGACAAGTATTACTTTCAAAAATGTAATATAAATTAAGCTGAATGCAAAAACCATTTGCAATATCAACCTCTTGCAATACCTATCATCTTTCCCGATGTTGAAAATCTAATCCAACAGGATCTATTAATCAAAGAATATTACATGGATTACACTTTAATGCAGGATGATGCATAAATCAAGTTGTAGAACAGAGGTTGCTTAGTACAAGTAGTTTGCGTAAAAGTAACACAACTTACTTGATGAAAGCTGGTGGCATATCTCTTTTCATGACCTGGTCTTCAGTCGTCTGGACAGTTTCTTTTCCAACCTGACAGTAACAAATGATAATTAGAATAATGATACTCATTCCGTGCAATGTTAATTGACAATCTGAAGAACAAAGCAGATCAAATGAAATTATACTGTACAGGTTACAGATCTCATATTTCAAAAAATTATACATTTCTGAAAGATCTTACGGCACATAAATAATTACACAGAATAAAACGGGGACTAGCTCATCAGCTATTTCCTCAGGTTGAATTCTTTTAAAATAAGCTCTACATAAACTTTACTCATAATATTTAAAACAAATTTACAGTACAATTGGGCTATAGGCATCATTTTAGCTTAGTATTTCTCCTAAAATGCTATAATCGGCACTTCTACATCTACAATACATCCTCTCCATCAACAAAAGAACATTATGGATTGCAGGAATAACCATGGACTCGAGATAAAAGCAGAGTAGCATTTAAGGATTTTTCCATTTACCTTATGTTTAGGGTTTCTGATTTTTGGGGTTTATTAATTTGATTGTGGGGCAGGGTTTTTTTTAAAAAGCAATTTTCCTTTAACAAATTTAGAGCGTTTATAAATCGGGGTGGGGGGGAGGAGGGCTTCAAGTGTCGTTATTGCAGTAAGAAGATGCGCCTTCGAACACAGAGGGGGAGAGGTGCCCTCATACACCGTAGTGCTTCCCAGATGGACACGGAAGAGAGAAAGAGGCAGAGAGCGGCGCATTCACAGTCAGTACACCAGGCACTGCACAGAACAGGGAGAGAAAACCTCACCTCGGAGCTGCATCAGAACAGGTATTTCCAGAGTTTTTTGGGCTAAGAACTGATTTCATTTTTTTGTATCATGGATGTTTTATCAGGGGGGTTGGTTAAAACCAAAAGTTCAGAAGCCCTATGGATGCTGTTGACGGCTTAAAACAATCAAATTGGTTTTGTTTCTTTTGTTGAAGTGTAGGGTGAGAGTACAGGTACTTTGAAAGCTAAAAAGAGCAGTTGAGAGTTGCCTTTGCTATTCAATATGTTGAATAAACACCAGTAGAAATTGCAGTTAAAACTAACGCAACATCCCAATGTGTTGGGAGTGCTTAGTAAGTGAGGTATTTGCCCTAAACATGCATGCATTTCTGTATGATTGGTATATTACAGGAGTCTCAAATTACCATTACAAGTTAGAGGACATATCCAGACAGTTCCATCTATTTTATTATAAACAAATTACTGTATGTAGACAGAATGACAGCTTTAAACCAAAAGCTTTAAAAGCCCTTTATAAAGACTGGCATGCTTAACTGGCATTATTTCTTACGGGCTCAGATCTCTCATTTCATTGTTATTAAAATGCCTTGACAGCTCAACTTATTTAACATCTACAACTGCACAGAAAAAATCCATTCACATTCTCAAGTGTATGACAGCATTCCAGTTTTGGAGTGGTCTTATTTTTAGAACCAGTTAATTAGAAACAGGAGGGGGATCATGTGCAATGGGGAATTCTGAACAGACGTTACTAAGACGCAACACTGCTACTTAGGATTTAAGAATTTTCAAATATGCAATTCTGACAAGGTCATATTGAATGAATGGAATTACTTTTATAAACTGTTCAGTTCTTTGAATTACTTCATGACTTCTAGAATCATTCTTACTTCCACGCTCTGTAACCTCTCCAATTTGTGTAGTCTAGTTTAACAAGAACACCAAGAATTGGTGACTCTTTGACTTGGTCAAATGCCTTCAATAAACATCCAAGGGAACAGTTAGATTAGTTAAGAACAGGTACACTGTGAACTGGAAACGTAACTGAATGGCCATCAAATCACACCCAAATCCTTTTCCTGTTCCACCTTTGTTCACCAAAGCTCCCCATTGTGTACACAACTCTCATTTCCTGTTGTGATGGACATAATCTTCCATTTATTGAAACCCAAATCCATCTGCTATTCATTAGACCATGGGTTAAATCATGCTAAAAGGCTTCAGTATGCTATCAATTTCCTTTATACCAGTTGCATGGTTGCAGAGCTCAGTCCAAGCAGTCTAAGTTTCTAATTTAAAATGACTAGCTTCCTCCACATCATTTGCAATAAATGTGAATAACAGGAGATGAAAACAATCCCCTGCGGTGCTCACTGTTTTTTTTAATGTTAGCAGCCTATTGCAATGCTGCATTTCAAATCCAGGCTCCAATAGACCAGTTGTAAGCTTTATATATATTTAGATTTTTATAAGGCAATTCTATACCCGCTGTAGGTTTTATTATAGACACAAGCTTGCTGAAACAGGATTAAAACATTAAATTCTATTTTACACCACAAAACACAAAAGTAGCCATAATCCCAAGAATGATCAAAAAAACACTGACATCTGAAATTTGAAAATATTGGGGGAAAGTCAATTTAAGACTGCAATGTAATTCATTAGCTCACATGAAGTTTGCACTTAAGTATTGCAATATCCTAATTTAATTTCATTTATATTTGATCCACACTTACAGCTGCTACAAATGTCAAAATGTACTGTGGAGAAGATATGGTTAAGCAGCATTTTTTTTTCCATTTTGCAAAGCAAATGTGGAATGCCACAAATAATGACTGTATATCTGAAGATTAAGTTAATATCCTGGAGGATTTGTTGGGATGCCCTTAGGTCAATAGTGAAGAACTTCACGTCCTCCCGACATGAAAAGCGCTTTACAAATGTCATTTTGTTGTATTCTCTTTTCTAGCATTACCCTCCCCCATCACTTTAAACTCATGAGACTCCAAGGCAGCACAAGTGATGCAAACTCCTTCTAAAGGTTAAATGTTACCAGCAAATACTCCTGGAGATTTTTATTGGAACTGCTTTTCTTCCAACAATATCCCAGCTGACCCAATATGCAGATTTTCTCATTCCTTGTGATCTATATCACTGTTACATATCTGCACTCTTTGAGATGATAAGTGATCCCGTGAAACAAACCTTTAGACTACCAACAGAATGTGTTGTGCTCTCTGCTGTACAAAACCATGCAACAGTCGAACAATCACACGTTTTAGCAATAATACTGCTCTATTGCACCCATTTCGCCAGTCAACCACTCTGAATTCTCGATTTTAGTAAATCCTTAACCTAAAATTACATACAGTATTTGGGCACTTTTGAAATGCAGCATTTAATTAGTAACTACTACCATAGAACACAGATCAAAATTCAGACTGCATGACTTCAGCAACTTTTACTTAAAATGTATCACAAATTTCTTGCAACACTGCTGGTGAATGCTCAGGCTATTTGCAGATCTCAAATTAAATTGAATCATACAATGATCGGAAACCACATTGGACTGTTGCTATAACTTCTGCCACTAAAGGAGAACTGTCCATGAATCTATCCATACATAGTTTCCTATGGAGTCCTGTAGCTCAGTAGTTAGAGCACTCGCTTTGCAAGTGAGAGACCTGAGTTCAATTCCAGGCAGGGCGAAACCTTGGGCAAGTTTCCTTACTCCACACGCCTAATAATAATCCCTCCAAAAAAACAAAAACAATAATTAAATTGGTCATTTTCAATCTACGACCGTTTGTGGGACATTGCTGTGCGCAATTGGCTGCCGCGTTCGCCCACAAATATACAGTCAATTCACTTTACAGTGTGTTCTGTGAAGCGCTTTGGGACGTCCTCCCGACGTGAAAAGCGCTATATCAAATGCAAGGATTATTATTATTATTATTATACAGACAGCAGTATGAGAACTTAATTCATTATTATGTAACATTAGATTATGCCACATTTAAGGCAGATGTCGTCAGATAGCTGATGAGGAAACTATGAGGACTGGGGCAATAGGTGCTGGAAAGCGGTATCTGGAGTTTGAGTTCATAAACACACGTTCATACATCCAGCGCCTGGAATCCACCTTGATTGGTTTACAGAGAGGTAAGCAGCTGCTGCTTAAGCTCCGTATCTCCAATTGGTGGAACCATTGCCCATTGGGAAGGGACATGCATCCGAGATGTGGACAAGAAAGTGCAGGTTTCTACCCCAGAACCAAAAAGGGATGCATTGGGGGAGGGGGAAAGAGAAGGGAAGAGGGTACAGAGCAAGAAAAGGACAGAATGGATTTTAAATATAAATAATTCCACACCAACTGTCAGTATCATTCATCTGCATCTACTCCTTCAAAGTACCCAGTGGGGAAGCTATTGACCTGGAGTATTTTGGTGAGTAATCTGGAAAAAGGTTTGCAACTTGTTTGCTACTAACAGCTGTATGTCAGGGTTATAAAATTAACTCAGTGCACCTGCCACCAGAGATGCCTTCGCTGAAGAAGTGGACCATTGTATTGCTGAACCTTTGTCATCCATAAGTGAACAGGCAGAACAAGCCTCTTCCTTTCTTAAAGATAACAGAGAAAGACATATCACTTCCACAGAGACACGTCTTCAGGAATTCTGACTCTTAACAATCTCTCAAACTTATTTTCACAAATAATCAACTGAAGGCCAACTTGTGTTTCTGTACCTCAAGGTTGACAGAAGCCATCAATGAATCATTCTTAATGGTAGTTTAAATTTGCTTAAGGAAGGCAGTACCCATCCCTGGCAATAGTCTTCTTGCTCTGTTGCACAGTTGATTGGAAGATGTCCTGCACTCCAAGGTTTGGAAGGCAACTTGCATGAGCAAAACCAAGTTAATATTCTAAAACAATTCTCTTTTTTATTCTCTATGATACTGAATGCGTAGAAGGAAAAATGCTTTTGTGATGTCAGTATGTTATAAATATTTTCTGTTCACTTCTCAATTCTGTTTCTATTTACAAGGTCACAGACGAGAGGGAGAGGTGAGCTGTTATGGTCTGAAATTGTTGAAATCAATATTAAGGCCAGAGGGCTGTAAAGTCCCTAGCAGATAGATGAGGTGCCGTTCCTCGAGCTTGTGCTGTGGTTCACCGGAACAGGGTAGGAGACCATGGAAGGAGAGGTCAGAGTGAGAGTGGGAGGGAGAGTTGAAGTAGCAAAAAAAACCAGAAACTGAGGGTTGTGCTCGT